ATATGCATCTATTGCTGCTCCTTTGACAAACTTGCTCAAGAAAGACAACTTTAATTGGGATGTTATTGTTACTACAGCTTTTGAAACACTCAAATCAACTTTAATTCAGGCTCTAGTTCTCGCTATTCCAGATTTTCTAAGGCTTTTGTACTGGAAACAAATGCGTCAGGGACCGGTATTGGGGCAATGCTTAGTCAAAACAATCATCCAGTTGCTTTCTTCTCGAAGAAATTAACTCCCAGACTTCAAAAACAATTAGCTTATGCGCGAGAACTATATGCCATCACTGAAGCAATAGCAAAATTCAGACATTACCTATTAGGACACAAGTTCTTAATTAGGACAGATCAGAGGAGTCTCAGGAGTCTTACCCAGCAGTCCTTACAAACTCCTGAACAACAATCTTGGTTGCATAAATTGTTAGGCTATGACTTTATTATCGAGTACAAACCGGGGAAGGACAATTTGGCAGCAGATGCTTTGTCTAGATCATTTTTCATGGCATGGTCTCAGCCACACATGGAAATTCTGCCCATATTGCGTGCTGCGATTACAGAGAATGCTGAGTTAAACAACATTCGCGAGTTATGCCGCAGGGGTACTCCTCCTCATCCCAATTATTCCACACATGATGACATGCTTTACTGGAATGGTAGATTGGTTATTCCTAGGAAGCATGACTTGGTTTAGCAAATATTACATGAATTCTACTCTTCTCCACTCAGAGGACACTCGGGTGTTGCAAGAACTGTATCTCGGATTGCTGCACAATTTCGCTAGCAGGGTATGCATAAAGACATAGCTGAGTTTGTTAAACAATGCCTCATTTGTTAGCAGGCTAAGTCTTCCAATACACTACCTTCTGGGTTGTTGCATCCTCTCCCAATTCCAGCATAGATATGGGATGATATCGCGATGGATTTCATCACGGGACTACCCAATGCTAGTGGTTTTACAGTGATCATGGTCGTGGTAGATCGACTTTCTAAGTATGTCTATTTTGCTCCTCTAAAAGCAGATTACACGAGTGCACACGTGGCAGTGGTGAAATTGCATGGATTCCCCAAGTCTATTGTATCCGATAGAGACAAAGTTTTTATGAGTCAATTCTGGAAACAATTATTCAAGTTGAGTGGTACTTCATTGGCCATGAGCACTGCATACCATCCTCAATCCGATGGCCAATCCGAAGCTGTCAATCGTTGTTTGGAAATGTATTTACGTTGTTTTGCTTATGACAATCCAAAGATGTGGCTGAAATTGTTACCCTGGGCGAAATTTTGGTATAATACCTCATACCACCTCAGTATGGGTATGACGCCATTCAAGGTAGTTTATGGCAGGGATCCTCCTAGGATTGACAAATATGTTACTGATTCGAATGATCCTCCAACATTGCAGGAGCTGTTGCAGCAGCGTGATGCTGTTTTGCATCAATTAAAAGGCAATTTGCATAAAGCCTAGCAGTATATGAAGAAACAAGCGGATAAGAGGAGATGTCATGTGGAATTCAAAGTTGGAGATATGGTGTTGGTTAAGCTCCAACCGTATAGACAGACTTCTGTTGCTTTGAGAAAAAACCAGAAACTAGGCATGAGATTCTTTGGTCCTTTCCCTATTATCCAATGTGTTGGTCCGGTTGCATACAAGCTGTTGCTGCCCTCAACTGCTCGAATTCATCCTATTTTTCATGTGTCGCAGTTAAAGCCATGCCAAGGTGTTCATCAACAATCATATATTCCACTTCCTCTGGTTACTAATGACATGGGCCCTACATTACAACCACAAGAGATTTTACAATCTCGAGTTATTCTGAAGGGTGTCCAATATATTCATCAAGTTTTGGTACACTGGAAGGCCTTGGTGCAAATCATGCTACTTGGGAGGATCTTTCTTATGTGCAACAAGCTTATCCTGACTTCAACCTTGGGGGCAAGGTTGATTTTAATGGGGGAGGTAATGCCACAAGTGAAAATAGTACAAGGGCAATTCAGGAAAAGAACGTGGAGAAAAATAATTTTGTTAGAAAGAATGGACAGGTGTCAAATAATCCTATGATTGTGGACAACCAAAAAAAGTGCAAGAATGAGGATGACCAATTCACACATGAAAGATTATGTTATATAGTATCTGACTGGGGAAAGGAAGGATATGGGTATTGTTGCATTCTGTCTTTTCTCCTCTCTTGTCTCTGTAGTTGCTATCGTTGCATAGTAACCTTCATTTTCCTTATTGTAATAGAACCCGCAATACAATAATACATACAGAGAATTATCCATACTACCCATTTGCCCATTCAATCATTATTTCATTCCATAATTGATTGTCCCCCGTTACATTTGACATTGTACCCATTGAGACAGAACACCATGGCTGCATTACATGCATGAGTTTATAATCAAATAAGAAAGAAATATGATTAAAAAATGAAGAAAAAAAGATATGTAGAAATGTTATATTTTAAATAAATAAAAACAAAAAAAAAAACTCTCTCAACGAGCACACGAAGTTTGAGAGAAGAAACAAATATGAAGTATTTGCTGAAGCATTACGCACATTTTAATCGATTAATTAATAAGGGTTGCAATTATTTAAAGGTTGTTGGCAAATACTAGGGCACACCTACATTGAAAATGTTTGCTTAATCAAATATGCAATCCAAAAACTTTATTCACTAAATTAGAATTAACTTAAGTATCTTATATTTAACAAGTGCTTTAAGAGAGTAAGAAATTTAAAGTAAAAAAATTATTAAAATTATGGTAAAATATATTAAAATTATAATTTTGTTAACCTCAGTTTTAAAAATTGAGTTTAAGCATCTGCAAATAGAAAATTTTTATGAAAAAAATATACAGTTATTATATTAAAATTATAAAAATATAATAAATATTTCTCTTTCTAAAAAAATTTTACTATTATTAGTTGCTTATTCTTAGAGTTGAAGTTAATAAAATCTTTAAAATTATAGTTCTTCTCAAATTTTGCATTTTCTATAAATTTCTTCTCACAATATTTTATCCCAAAAAAAAAAAACATCTTATTAATTTAGACATATTTTTCAACATTTCGTATTGCTAGCCTATTTGTTTATATATTTTAAAAGATAAGTGAAATTAATGAAATTGAATATACTATTAATGTTAAACTCTTAATGTGATGCAAACGGCAAAAACATAAATAGGAAAGTAATGTCTTAAATATCGAACTTGTAGATATTAGTTTGGATTTTATTACCACATATATCAGTATCATCCGAAGTCATGATCATTGAAGTGCATAAATCAATTAATACGTGATTAATTCAGCTTACTTAATGATATCAAATTTAAACTCTAAATATATAACTATGTTAAATACTTTAAAAATCATCCATAATAATTAAAATAATCACCCTAAACCACCTTTATGTGCACTTTTTAAAAGGTTATATATGCATTATAATTAATTACATAATTAGTCACATAAATGATCGTAAACATGAGTGTGCCACACGATGAGGACTAACAACAATGCTAAAACGAAAATTCTACGTTAGGGATGTGATGACGCAGGTTCATATATATATATATATATATAGTTTTACATTTGTTTTAATGGTAAGAGACTTTGAGATATTATCAAGTTAATTTAAGTTTAAATGACTCAATTATTTTTTGCTTACGATTTATAATTATTACTGAATCGAGGGAGTTTTACCTTTACAAATATACGTAATAAAATAGCTTCATTCGATTGTTTCCGTTTATATAGATCTTATATATGTGTGTGTATGTATAAATTAAAGTATTTTATTTTATACCAGTAGACCGAGGCAAACCTAATGATTAATCATTAGTATAAGGATTTTTTAGTGAAATCAAAATAAAATATAATCGTGGCTTTTATATATATATATATATATATATATATATATATTAAATGCGTATCTATTTGTTTTGTTTTTCACATAGAAAATAATAGAAAATGAAAATACAGTAAGCGGTTATAGGTAATGCATTATTAAGAACAAAACTTATATCTTAAATCATATAAAAGAATCTACTTATAATGATATATTTTTTATACGCTTTGTCACAAAGATTCTATCATTATTAATAATCAATTTTTTAAAATGTTTGAAATATTAACTGAAAATATATAGATAATTCTATTTTTTATTTTAGTTTATTTAACCAGCTTAAAAAATTGTTTGACCAAAATGGATTTTTTGGCAAATAAATTTACTCTGGTGGTAGTGTTTTTTAAAATGTAACGGTTAAATTTATAAGCTCTTAATTTACCAATTTTAAATTTTTTCTCATAATTTTATTAGAAGTTCTCTTTTACCTTTTTTAATGTTTAAAAACCCTCAACACTCTCACACAGTCACTATCTTTTCACTCTCATCACACGACACCTTTTATTATTGATTTAATAATTTTTAATAACAATTTATCACTTTTAATTAATTAATTAATTATTCATAAAGATTAAAATCGACATTTTTCTTAATTTAGTTAGCAAAAGTTAACATGAATATGCATGGGGTGTAATATATACTGGACTTGTGTTTGGATTAATAGATTAAGAAAAAACAAAAGATTTTCTTGAGAAATATATTTCAGAAGTTATTATTTTGTTCGAAGGAAAAACTGTTATAAACAAACAATGACTTAAATAGACAGTAAACTTGAGAAAAAGGAAAAGAAATATTATTAAAAGAAAAAAGGGAGTTTAAAAAAAGTGAAACGACCTGCACAAACCGATAGTGGGTGGAGTTGACATGGCGATCCCTGCCGTCGACTCAAAAACACTGGAATGAGCGGTCCCACTCACGTAAAATAGAGATATTCCCTTTCGTTTTCCGACCCACCACTCGGTCACTCGCACACTCTCTTTCTCTTTCTGTATCTGCCTCTACTACTTGACTACTTCTAAAGACTAGGGGCCAAGCCACTCCAACCGCGTCATGCCACAGAATGCAAGTATTAAAGAAAAACCAAACACCAACATCTTTTAGTGGTCTTACACACACGCCGTTTCTTCTTTTTCCATCTCTCCTCCCAGCTTTAGCTAGGAAATCCCACACTACTAATATAAAACTCAACAACACACCCTTAAATTGTTTTATTTTACTTAAACACCATTCCATCATTTTTTGTTCTTCCTCTTAATCACTTGTGTTATATAGGTTCACCCATTACCAATTAAGCCCAGCTTAACATTTTGATATCTGCTGCGCAAGCCCTCCCTTCTCCTCTTTCTATTTCTGAGCAATCTCTTTACGCGTTCATGTCTCTCTCTCATAGATTATGAACACGTTCTCCCTATCTCTCGCCTCTTTGAAATTCAACTCGCTCTAAGTCTAAACCAAGCCAAAAATCCCTCTCGTAACTTTCCTCAACAACCTGTCCAGGTTAGCAACAAACGCCGAATAGCATTATACAATTAACAAATTCACGTTCCTTTTTGCTGTAAAGAAATAGAAAAACTTGAGTTGAAGAAAGAAATAGTTATTTAAAGGCCGATCCATATATTTCTTTGGGTTGTTTTGTCTTATAAATGAATGGTAATCCGAAACACGAGCGCCGATGGGCGTCCGACACTGTTCCCGGAAAAGCAACCGTCAGCGCCGGAACTTCGCCGGGAACTGAGTCCAATTCCGCTGCCGAGGAGTTTGTGGAGGTCACTCTCGATCTTCAAGACGATGACACCATCGTTCTTCGGAGCGTTGAGCCAGCCTCTGTTATTAACATCGACGACAGCGTCGCCGGAAGCGGATATGAAACTCCGGCGTCCGTTCCGCGGTCTCCAACGATCCGGAGGAGCTCGTCGAGAGGATTTCGGCAGTTCTCGCAGGAGCTGAAAGCCGAGGCAGTTGCCAAGGCTAGGCAGTTCTCGCAGGAGCTTAAATCGGAGTTGCGACGGTTCTCGTGGAGCCATGGCCATGCTTCGCGCCAGCTTTCATCTTCCTCTGCTCAGAACGGGACCGGCGCTGCCGCCGGTGGCGGATTTGAAACGGCGTTGGCGGCTCGTGCTCTCAGGAAGCAACGCGCTCAGCTTGATCGCACTCGTTCCGGTGCTCACAAAGCACTCCGTGGTCTGAAGTTCATCAGCAGCAAATCCAATGGCGTTGATGCGTGGAACCAGGTGCAGAGCAACTTCGATAGGCTTGCCAAGGACGGTTTCCTCTATCGCGCCGATTTCGCTCAATGCATAGGTCCGTTTCTTTTTCAAATCTCGTTTCGGATTCTTGCATTGTTCGTTTGAATCGTTTGAGTCCTTATCCTATATAGTTTCCCCTCCCTGTTTCATTGCATTGGATTTTATAGCTTAAAAATTGTCAGGATCTTACATACTTTGCTACTGTTTCTGTTGTTGGCTTCAAGTCTGTTTTTGTACTTTTTTGTTCCTGAAGGCATGAAAGAGTCCAAGGAATTCGCTTTGGAACTGTTTGATGCTCTGAGTCGCAAACGAAGATTGAGTATTGATAAGATCAGCAGAGATGAACTTTTCGAATTCTGGTCGCAAATTACCGATCAAAGTTTTGATTCGCGGCTCCAGATCTTCTTCGACATGTAATTATTCGGTCATTATTGTTATTGTTGAAATTCGATTTAATTAGTGATAAATAATCTTCCTCGTTTCCGTTTCCTTTCTTTAATTAATCTGGTGCTACCTAATATGAAATTAAACACAGCATTGTTAAATGTCACGTATATTTGCTTTATTATTTAAATACCTGTCAAAGCTTTGATGCTTTCTTTGCTTGTAATTCAATTATGATCATTGCGTGCTTTTTATTTTAAAATAATATTCTTAATCATCTTCACAGGGTGGACAAGAACGAAGATGGAAGAATCACCGAAGAAGAAGTGAAAGAGGTATAGAAGACTTTTATTTTATATTCCAAAACTGAAACTTTATCTCTCATGTTTGTATTCACTATTCAACTGAATTTTAATTTAAATACTCTTTTCCTTTTACTAATTTGTTTTTCTTCTTCATGTAGTGAACGTAATACTTTGCTTACATGGTGTCCACTAGAGTTTTAATTAATCAACATTAGGCTGGATTAGTTGAACTTAATTAAATGGTTACTAATAACTACGTCCAATGTTCAGTGTTCCAACTTATAATGTTTTCCATATTCTTGAACATAATATTAGTTGGTATATATTCAAGAGTTAGTGAACAATGTCTTACTTTTGCGGCTTTGGTCATACATATGGCGCTTTCATTTTTCTGATTTTACCAAATTCTTGGAATTTATAATGAAGACGTTATCAGTGGAGTTGGTGGGGGCGTAGTCGTCATTTTAAGCAAAACCTTTTCTTTTGTCCCGATATAGTTGTTTTCTCAAAGACGTAATATTTAGTGAAAAGTTCTCACATTAATTTTTAATTAACCAATTCTTGTTGCATCTATTGATCACAGATCATTATGTTAAGCGCTTCGGCAAATAAGTTATCCAGATTGAAGGAGCAGGCCGAAGAATATGCAGCTCTGATCATGGAAGAGTTAGACCCTGAAGGACTTGGCTACATCGAGGTGGGAAATCTTTCTGTTTTACTATGTAACGCATGCATACATTTATTCATATATATTCTGACTGCAATTTATTCATAATAATTAACCAGAATATAATGTGGTCGCATTATTTTTTTTTTCTACATCGTTTTTATGCTAATGAACAACGTTAATAGGGTGTACTGCACCATGAACGGGAATAACCCATTATGCCAGTCAAGTACATAATAAGTTAATAACGTTGTTTGCTATATTCACCGATAATGAGAAAATATAATTGTGTTGTGCTCTTAGCGTGTTAAAGCTTTTGGTTTGTCGTAGACATTGTTTTATATCAAATGTGTTTAACAATATTAATTTGTAATTTTTTTATAAACTAACAGAGTTGTTTAGTATATAAAAAATAAAAAAAATATATAACTTGAAAGTTAATTTATAAAGAGTTACTTTAAGTAACTTTTAGCTTATTAGAAATTGATTACTAATATTTTTTTAACTTTTAAAATAATTTATATTTATATAAAATAATTCTAATATTTTTTAATCATTTAATACAATTTTAACTAGTTACTTCTAAAACTTTTAACTAGTCACACAATTTATTTTTAATTTAATATATTAATTATAAACTATAAATTTCAATTATAAATCATAAATTTTTTAACTATTTTTATTGCGCAGAATCATAATTTTCATAAGATAACCATAACAGAAAACATTGTTTTTTTTCCTGAAATATTAGGTTTTCATATCATATTATATCGCAATTTTGATTATACAATTTAATAAAATCTCAAAATAAATAAAGTTTTAATTTTTACCGACAAATTGGTTAACAAATACTAACGAGTAAATATTAAATGAGAAGACAAGTTATTAATATATGAAATGCTGTATTGTTTAAATATTTGTTTCTTAATTTTTTAACAAATATTTTCATCGTAAACATTAGTGAAGGATGCTCGTTTGTCAGCTGTCCTACTTAGGTTTGTGTACCTTTTTGTCAGCGTTGGAGTAGGACCGTGCTTTTCTCAGTCAACAGTTGGGCTGAATTGTGTGATTGTGCAAATCACACGACATATTTAGTAGGAGTGGAGCCAGGAATTTAGATTAAGGGCTTGGTCAAAACTAAAGTGTTTTGTAATTTTCAAAAAATAACTATTTTATTATTTCATATTTACTTTTATATTGTATTTTATTAAAGTTAGTATGAGAAGTTTAAAAATATAATGTTATATATTAACAGTCTCTATAAAATATAGTTTTTTTTATCAAAAATATATATTACTATACAAAAAAAAATAAAATTTGCCGGTGGCCCCAAGATATGTATGCCATCCCACCCCTTCCCTCCCACACCCACCCCCCCCGCGGCGCCTGTTTCTAGAGTAGTTCGGCCGTGTAGGACAAAAAAGACAAATTAGGCATATTATAATCATCACAAAATGCCTTGCTGAATTTATAAAATGATTTGATGTGCTAAATCATTGCATCGTAGTGGTAAGTGTGCCCTCAATTTGCAGCTAAATTAAAAAAGGATCAATACCATTAGCCTTCGCTAATTTACGTCGCGGACGAAAACTCGGAAATGAAAAAGGGGTTATCGCCCTGACCATCTGCAATATTGACATTGTGATATCATATTCCTGCTGGGTCGTTTTTCTAAGGTACATGTTTCATCATGCTTCCGTTCCCAACTGGCCTTTCTGCTTCTTCGCCAGTTACACGCGTACACCTTACTCGACACGTATGCACGCGTGATGCATTCTGTTGTTCTTGTAATGCCAATAATGCATATAGTTGACATGCTGAAATATCTTTACACGATTCAATCTCTGATAGTTTTGCGGCATTATCGATGGTCATTATGTCATCGCAGCTATGGCAATTGGAGACGCTTCTTCTACAAAAGGACACGTACCTCAACTATAGCCAAGCTCTAAGCTACACAAGCCAAGCTTTGAGCCAGAACCTACAGGGGCTAAGGAAGAAAAGTCCTATACGTAGGATGAGCCGCAGATTGCTCTACTATTTGCAAGAGAATTGGAGGAGACTTTGGGTTTTAACATTGTGGGTTTGCATAATGATTGGGCTATTCACGTGGAAGTTTATTCAGTACAAGCATAAAGATGGATTTCAGATCATGGGTTACTGCCTTCTCACGGCTAAAGGAGCGGCTGAGACTCTAAAGTTCAACATGGCACTTATACTCTTACCCGTGTGCAGAAATACCATAACTTGGCTCAGGTCTACCAAGCTGGGTTATATTTTACCTTTCGACGACAACATCAACTTCCATAAGGTACGCACTAACGCCACCCGGGAGCCTGTTTAAGTATTGAATATTCACTTAACAGTGTAAGTTAGTGATCGCCACCAAAAACTGTAAATTCAAATTAATTTTTGGTCTTGTACATCATGATATCATTGTTTTTACTATTTATAAATTTAAAACCTGTAGTGATCAGTGGTAAATTGAAAAAAAAATGCCAACTAATATTAAACATGAGACGCGCAAATATATATAAAATAAAATTAAGTTTGAAAATGTTTTTATCTATAAAAAATATTATTTTTCTTTTAAATTTTATTTTTTTAGCCACCCTATGACATTTTTTTATAATTTTAAAATGTTAAAAACGGAACAAATTCAAATAAATACAAATTGTAAAAATAATATAGCAACGAAAACATATTTAAATCATAAAACAGTATAATGTCTTTAGAAATACTTCATAAAATTTGTCAAATCGATCATAATCTATAATATATATTATCAATAAATTACTGATGTAATTATATTAAACCTTTATTTTTAATTCTATATTAGCTTAATGAATGTGAATGTAATATAAAAATCCTTTCTCTGCCACAAATTTTTAAAAAATAACAAAAACATAATGGCTTATGTACCCCAATAGGCAGGTATATAATTTCCAAGTTCACTTTTTTTTTTCTTTTTTGTTAAGCTCCAAGTCTACTTTATTGATTCTTACAGACAATTGCTGGTGCCATCGTGATTGGTGTTATACTTCATGTCGGGGATCATCTTGCTTGTGATTTTCCAAGACTTGTAAATACGTCTGAAGAACGTTATGACAAGTATTTGAAAGGTGTATTTGGCCGCCATAAACCCACGTATCGAGACCTAGTTAAAGGCGCTGAGGGTGTGACTGGAATTTTGATGGTGGTTTTTATGGCGATTGCATTTACACTAGCAACCAAGTGGTTCCGCCGAAATCTCATTAAGCTGCCTAAACCATTTAGTAGGCTCACTGGCTTCAATGCCTTCTGGTATTCACACCATCTGTTTGTCATTGTATATGGTCTACTCATCGTCCACGGAATAAAGCTTTACTTCGTGCATAAATGGTACCTTAAAACGGTATATAATTTTTACCATCGTATTTCAATTATTTAGGAAATCTATCAAATGCTTTGTTTGCCGGTGATTAATAAGTCATGCACTGTTTTCCGTTTTCAGACATGGATGTATATTGCGGTACCTGTTTTACTTTATACGTCAGAAAGAATACTCAGATTCTTTCGTTCGGGTTTGTATACGGTTCGTCTGGTAAAGGTGAGCAGAGAAAGTGAACCGATCAGAGTTAGGCTCTGAAAGTAGATTTCAACTTCATAAATACGTTTTTATTACTTGTCTTGACGTACAATTGGCCTGGTCTATTTGTGAGCATTCAGACAGAAGATTCATACAAAAGTATATGTTAAAAACTATGAGGACCAAGAGTCCAAATCCTCAAAAGCCACACTAGCTTAATCACTTATAAATTTTGGAAAATGATTCTTTCACATCCCATTTGGGAAAAGAGCGATAGGAAGAAAAAGAAGAGAGGGAAAATAGAAAATGTGATGAATGAAGTGATAGAAAATAAAGAGAGAATTAGGAAGAAAAGAAGAATGAAAAATGGATGTAAGAGAAAATGAGTATGCAAATATAATAATTGATAAAATTTAATCATGTAAAGTGAACTTATGTTAACATCCTTTTTTAATGTGGAAAACATTTAGGTTGCCATATATCCTGGAAATGTTCTCACATTACAAATGTCCAAGCCTCCTCAATTTCGCTACAAAAGCGGACAATACATGTTTGTACAATGTCCTGATATTTCTCCGTTTGAGTGGTAAGTTGCATTTTAAATTTTTTTACATAAATTGCAATACCTACGGTGATTTTTGGCGTTAGAATTTACATTATGATTGATATACTGTTTTGGAAGTTAGTAGTGTGGATTAAATTGAACGAAATGTGGTGAAGCAATATGAATTTGGGATAATTAACCGTCCTCCCCCCATAAGACAGAGATCAAAGTGTAGTGTACTTTTGCCCCTGAGGCTCAGGTATATTGAACAGGAAAAGAAGAAAAAAGTGAAGTGATATTACACTTTAAGAGCAGTTAGGAGTCTTGATTTCGTTTCAGATCGAAACTTGCCATCATTGCTCAATTAGTGTCGGCATCTAACAGTAACATGGGACAATATATATATGACAGGCATCCGTTTTCTATTACCTCAGCCCCTGGCGATGACTACCTGAGTGTTCACATTCGGCAACTGGGTGACTGGACACAGGAGCTTAAAAGGGTATTCTCTGAGGCCTGTGAGCCTCCTGTATCTGGGAAGAGTGGGCTTCTCAGGGCTGATGAAACGACTAAGAAAAGGTACATGTTGCGCTTGCCATATTTTTTTTTGCTTTGCCTTTTAATTTTCAATCTTCAGGTAGTCAGGACAAGCAATCTATACTTAATTTCCTGCCTACTTCTTGTTAAACATTGATACAGTTTGCCAAAGTTAAAGATAGATGGACCTTACGGTGCGCCAGCACAAGATTATGCAAAATATGATGTTTTGTTACTTGTTGGTCTTGGGATAGGGGCAACACCTTTCATCAGCATTCTGAAAGATCTTCTTAACAACATCATCAAAATGGAGGAGATGGCGGTGAGTTTCAGCACTACGTCATATTAATTATTGAACATGCAGATAACAAAGTAGTTACATATTCATGTTATATATCAATTGGCTGTGGTGTCTGATGTATTGCATACGAATTGTTATCCTGATCATTATTTGAACATCTGTATGTAAATTTAGTACGATAAAAAAGTAACACTCAGGGTTACTTCTATTCAGGATTCAATATCTGATATCAGTAGAGGTTCAGACCTTAGTGTTGGGAGTGCTGATTCACCGTCTCTTAATAAAATTGCGCCAAAACGGAAGAAAACATTGAAGACCACCAATGCTTATTTCTACTGGGTTACAAGAGAGCAAGGCTCTTTTGATTGGTTCAAAGGAGTCATGAATGAAGTAGCAGAGCTTGATCAAAGGGTACTTGTTATTGTAGAAGATTTATTTATCTTATTGATACTTCGTCCTGAAGAACTATTAGCATTCCTTTTCCCTGCTGCAAGATGAATAAGAATTATTTACAATGGTTAATGTCAAATTATGGACTTCAGGGTGTCATTGAGATGCACAACTACTTGACTAGCGTATACGAGGAAGGGGATGCTAGATCCGCGCTCATCACCATGGTGCAAGCACTCAACCATGCCAAAAATGGAGTTGACATAGTTTCTGGGACTAGAGTAAGCCTTCAACTTTTGTTATTTTTCATTATGTATCAAAATTTTCTACACAATCGTTAGCACCAATTTAATGTCCAAGTCGGGAGTAAGTAAATTTAAAACCGCATGCTTCTTTGGATTTCTCGTGCCAGGTGCGAACTCATTTTGCTAGGCCTAACTGGAAGAAGGTTTTCTCTAAAATATGTTCCAAGCACTGCAATGGACGAATAGGTCAGTCAGTCTCCATTGAGCATATTTTGGTACTCGGTAGAATATTTTTAAAATTTATCGTTTAAGTATCAAATAAATAATAGACATGATGATATACATTATCATTATCTTTATTACTTTTATATTTTTGATATGCATGCATTTAAAAATTTTCTTTCAAAATAAAAAATATCAAGAAGTTATCCCATTTTATTATATACAAAAGCGTTTTTTTTTTTTTCATTTTTTCCTTTCTTTTTCTTCTGCTGACATTATGGTCATCCTGGTTCCTGTCAGGGGTGTTTTATTGTGGCGCACCAGTCTTGGCCAAAGAGCTTAGCAAGCTCTGCTTCGAGTTCAATGAAAAAGGGCCAACGAAATTTGAGTTCCACAAGGAGCATTTCTAGGGAATTTGGACGGAGCTCTCCCAACTCTACTTGAAAGTTAACACAGTCACGCACAACCTAAACCCGTCATTTTAGCAACTTGGCGTGGCCAGATTATATGATTATGTTCAATAAGCTAAAACCTTTTTTGTATAGATTTGAAGTATTGTACATACCGCCCAGCAAGATTGCTTGGTATTTCACCATACATGTGGCCACATAACTAAAGAGATAAGCGCAGCAGATGTACCGTGCACCGCCTAAAGTGCGATACAGCTACGTTGGAGGCGTTGACCTGATTGTGGAGCCACCTGGATTATTGGCAGATAGATCCACATTGAATTGGATATGGACATTCTTGAAAAGGTAATAGGAAATAAGGGGACTAAGGAATTCGATTGGGGTGCCTTTCTGAGAGTAACTTCCTCATTTTCCTTCGAGGGGATTCTGGGAATTCTAGAAAACTGAGAGTGATACGAATGACTCACCTCTGCTTCTGTTTGGATTCCTTGGGGGGGGGGGGGGGGTTTGTATCTCTGTAAATGAGACTGGTATAGTTTTTTCTTTTTTTTCAAAGTGACCATAATTTTTAACTCTTTTTTTTTATCATACATTTGATAAAACTAGTGGCAAACACGAATTAGACGATTGAGTTGAATCAACTGATGGAATATCACTCTGCTCATCTGGTCAATCCTAACGTTAGAGTTATTTGCACGTAGTTGACGAACCAGATCAGAAGTATATGGATGGAAAATTGGGCCCGCCCTGGCTTTCTCACGAGCCACCTCGCGTATAGAACACTAAAGCATGAAAATTGTTCAGTAAGGTTCAATTTGGGTATTTTTCATTTTATTTATTCAAAACTTTGAATATGATTTGACACGTTCTCAATAAATGCGATTTGAATCCGAGTTTGAAAAGGATGCGTACGAAAAAAAAGCCTAAATGCATAATCTCTTCTGCATAAAGGACAGTGGGTTTTATTATGTCAACTGTCAACTGAAGTGAAGTACTGTAAAGAACATATGTAGTTGATTACTACCGATGTAAATTTGATGATGCACTTTATACGCCTTTTAAAACATAAAATGGATGTAAAAATTAAATTTAGTATGCAAGGATTGCAACACACAAGAAAGTTACAAATAAAGCAGGCACTTCTGTCAGGAAAGTGGTACTTTATTTACTTTTTTATACATGAGGAATAGATGAGTCATTTCTATATATAAAGTGTGAAAGACTCGTTTAAAAAGATACAATGTTCTTTGTCATATATCACTGGCACTGTTATTTTATTTTATTTTTATTACTATGAATAGTATGGATGTGGAGGACAGGGATAGCTCGGGCGCACCCAAAAAATAAAGTAAACGGTCAACTGAATCTAGCGTAAAATGTCAACCCAATGGGCCAAAATGATAGCTATTTTTCCTACGCCCGATGATATTTTTGCAATCTTATATGGGGTGTTGTTTAAGTACAAAGAAAAGAGAGATAAATGAAATGTAAGAAACAGGTATGAAAATATTATTATTAATTTTCAACTTCAGCAGTAAAAGTTTTTTCAGAACAGAGAAATTTTTTTCACTATAACAAGCAAATGAAAATCAGTCTGTGATGGACCCCAAAAAAAAAAATGACGGTCAACGAAGATCAATATAGCATGTCTCTTTGATTGAGTCAACAAATAAGGGAAATAAGATGGATACATTGGTGGAGGAAATTTTATGGTAACTGCTAACGTTAGAATTCCCCTGGTTAAATTTGGTCATTTGATGTTTATCTCCTCTTGCCTTCCCCACCAGTGTTAAAAATTTATATTTCGAATGCGAAGCTTGGTCTTCATGACCAAATCAAATATAATTAATTGTCACATTCACAACCGGCGTAAATCAATAAGATACAGGGAAGAAACTTGGTCTAATTTAATTTGTTACATAACTCATTCGCCGATCTGTTATTAAGCATTATTTCACAATTCATTCTGATGAGGCCGGATTGTCGTTTCCTCCACGGCTATTTCTAGAATCCTTCAAATTCACTTATCTTAAATCACCATCTTCATTTTTAATAGATAATTAATTCATAATTTAGTCATTCCCTTCCCTTCCCTTCATTTCAAGCAAGACCCAATTTAGTCAACATTCAAACCGTGCCATTAGTGGAAGCGCGTAGAGAAAAACATCAACCATGGACCGACTCCAATGAGTCCTTAATGCTTAAAGTTGAAGGTCAAGACACAAATCTATCCTTATCAACGTAGAATCAACCATTTGAAAACGTTCCATAATGGAAATGCATCTAAATACCCGCTACCCAATAACTAATATACCATAATGTATAGTAGCATAAAGACCCCGTTAGATTAAAATCAACAAAACCACATATCACTATGGCTCAGAACCAAACTGAACAATTCAAGCCCTTAGCTCCATTCATATCATCAACTCATCACTTCAGCAGACAAGAGGATCAAAACATTTCCCAACAAAAAATCATTCGTGCAAAAAAGTTCATAAGATGCTGTGGCTGTGTCACTGCCCTTTTAGTGATATCTGTAGTCATAATATTAGTGTTGGGCTTCACCGTTTACAATGTGAAAGAACCCGAAGTGAGGATGAACGGGGTTACCCTTCTCAATGGATCTTTTGCCGACGGTGCTACTAATAACATTACACTTCTTGCAGATGTCTCTGTGAAGAATACAAACGATTTTACCTTCAGGTTTGGAAACGCCAATACCACTGTTTACTATGATGGCATGGGAATAGGTAAGGGTTTTTCTCCACCGGGTAAGGCCAAGGCCAGAAGGACGATAAGGTTCAACGTGACCATGCAGATTGTGACACAGAAGCTTTTGGCTGTTCCAAGCTCGATGATTGACCTCAAGGATCAAGCTTTGAATCTCAGTAGCTATACCATGATAGATGGCAAGGTGAAAATACTTAACCTGTTTATGAGGAAAGTTGAGGTTGAGTTGAATTGTACGGTTCAATACAATATCACCACTGGTTTTATCTCCAATGGTGACAATTGCCTCAGACGTGTTGATATTTAGGTTCCAGAGAAATGCGATCAATTTTCTTTTAAATATACTCTTCAATGCATTTTTTTGTTATTAATTTATTTTTTAAAAAGTTGAAGTGTTTATTTTATAAATTAATTATTTTTTATAAATTATTTTAACTTTTTAAAAATAATTTAATTATAAAAATGTGTTAAAAGAGTATATTCAAAAGAATGTTGTAATAGTTTAGTTTTTTGAAATGAATCTATTAGGCTAATGATATAGTTTTGTACATTATTGCAAAAGTGCAACAGGTCTGTCTAGTTTGTTTCTCAAATGAGTAGTTAGAGATGCTTCATCGATATCTTAGTTTGTATTTTTTTAACCCTTCTCTATTTAACTTTTGCAATTTGATGGTGTATTGATATTATTGTTGATGTCTTAATGCTATGAAAAGAAATTACTTTATCATTACAATGATATTTTGGGAGTAAAAAAATCCACACTTAAATTATATCTTATTATCTATGATTTGAACTAAGTAATGTTATTTATATTAAAAAAATTACAATAATTTATAAATAACATAGAAAAATTACAAAATTAGGAGAAAAAGTGTAGAATAAAATATGTGATGTGATAAAGAAATATACAGGGAAAAAAATAAATGTGTAGAAATGGTTGTGAAAGCTAAGTTATTGTTTCATTTGTTTTTAATTTAGGTTAATAACAACTCTTAGCCATATGATAAATTTTGTTAACTACTGTCTTGGATCATATCATTTGTATTTTAAAATAATGCATATTTCCTAAGATAGTTATTAATCAACAAATTATCATAATAGAATGACTTTATTCAAGAAAAATATCTTCTTCAACAGAATTAAATCTAGTTATTAATTATTTCAGCATTTAAATAAATACTAATAAACAAGGATATTACTAAAAGAATACTCAATTATTCTTTAATTATTTTAAAATTTTAAATACGTTTTAATTCCTTAAAAGTATCGTAATATTTTTAATATGCTTCATATTGTTCATATTTAAAAAAGTTAATTATTGTAACCTGATTCTATAAACGGAAAAATAAATATGCTGTAAATCAATTTCTATGTCCACTAACCTGCATTCACATCATTGTTTTATGAGATTCTGTCCATTCAACATTTCAACTGCGTATAATATATTCTTAGTTTAAATTTGATATTTTTAAGAATTATTAAGGTTGAAATTTTAATATTACACCGTGTAAAAAAAATATGATATGTGCTCTCCGAGGAACTTGATGTATATAATTTTTGGACAATCAAACGGTATTATGGAACAGGTTGCTTTTGCTCCTTATCTCCACAAAGCGATGTTACTCTTAATGGTGTGTTTTTTTTATTATTATAATATAATTTAATAATTTAATGAATGGTTTGGTACTCAGACCACTGTGAAATTAGAATATTTTAATATAATTGAAACTCAAATTTAAGATAATAAATTAAATTAAAATAATTTTAAATCAGCTGATTTATATGTTAAATGGTCTTTTCAGTATATTTTGAAAGTAAAAAAATAAGAAGATATATTCTTATTTTTTATAATTTATTAAAATAAATAATATATTAATATTAATTTAATAAATTATTATTATTTATTTTTATAAATATTATATAACTCTTAATTTTTAAGGAAATATTGTTGTCTCCCTTTCTCTCTCTCTCCAAGATCTTTACTCCAAATAAGGTTACAAGAAAAAACAATCAGCTACTTTGGTTGGTCATGCATGAAGCACTCATACAAATAAGCTTCGCTATCGATCTTTGCAACTACCAAGTGTCCTCACTTGCATGAATTTGGCTTCTGAAACCACGAACCCTTCGTTTTTCTTCTGAAACCAGAGCTCCTCTGTTCATTTCAGCCTGGGACGATGCATTTGGAGAATGAGGTGTGACATGTTCTTTTACCAAACTAAATGGGAGTTCACAGCAAGATTGCTTTAGATTTTTTTCATTGATTTGAAGTTAAATTTTAAATTTTTATTTGAGGATAATATTCTAATTAAAATTAAAAAATTGTTTTTTAAAATAAAATTATTTCTTGATATGCAACTTAGACTCAAATTTCAAGAATATTTCATAACCCTGTTATTATATCTGGCTATTTCTTATCTCGCAACTTAATAAACATATATATATATATATATATATATATATATATTATTTCATCCACACTAATCAGCAAGAAAATAAAATTATTGATACTTACATCATGCTGACACATCACTCTCTGTTGTGCTGTAGTTGTGCATCACCTCTCACTATGCACTGTCAACAACATATTGCCATCTGATATCTGATTTATTCCTAATTATTTCTTTATGATATACATACTGAGTTTAGTATATATAGTAATATTCTCTTTTGGGAGAAGATTTTTGGAGGGGAAGGGAGATGAGGGTTTATTTTTTAATTTTATATTAGAAAAAATATTATTTAAGAGGATAAATATATTATTAATATATTAAAATTTTGTTATTATCTTAATTTTTATTTTTTTAAAATTATTAATTTTAAATATATTTATTTAAAATATAAACATAAGCCTCCTTCCTTTCCCCTCTAAAAATTCTCTTCCAAACATATCCTAAAACATGTTTGATCTATTGATATTGAACTTGCAAAAAAATAGACTTAAATCACTTTTAAAACATGTATCAATGCTTGCATGTATCTCATTAAATACAAGAAAGATTAAACACTAGTAAAATGAGAATATACACGTATACATTCGTACATTTTAAAAAGTTTTTTTTTATGTTGTTTAATTTTTAAAAAAAATTTAATGGGACAGAAAATAGAATTAAACAATAAAAATAATAGATCTTTTAATTTCAAAAATATTTAAAATTTGTTAATAATGATATACAAATATTCTATCATATTTAAGATTAATTAAAAAATTATTTATTAAAATAATTAAAAGAAAACCCTAAACCTATCTCTCTTATTATGTAATTAATAAAAGATACGTGGCTAAAAAGGAGGACTACATAAAAATTTATTTTACTTATAAAAACATTAAAAATTTATTTTACTTAAAATTAATTATACTTATAGAAAGTATTTTAAAAAATAACAAAAAAATTCATTTTTGAAGATCATTTTATATTTTAATAATTATTGCGACACTCGGAGAGGAAACAAACATCCACTAAATATATTAAGATTTTTTGAAAAAAATTATAGTTGATTAACTATTACCAAAATGTTTTGCTTTGATTAAACTCTATGACTATTAATTTTAGATTTATTTTATGATTAATCAGATACACTAGCATAACGTATGTACTAATTCTATTTTTTTAATTAATATCAAGGATTTTTTTATTTATATTTATTTTATACGTTTATTATTTGAAAATAAAAATATCAATTATTATTTATAATTATAATTTTATCTTTTCATTTATTAAGAAGGAGAGAGAAAGATATTGCTAAGAATTTTAATTTTTTGTTAATTTTATTGTAAAAAATAGTAATAATATTTTATTAAAAAAATTAAATCAAGTTATTCAAATGAGTTAAGAACGAGTGGATTATGAAATTAAAATTTAAAATTTAAATTTAGCATTAAAAAATTATAAATTTTTTAATAAGTTATATATTTTTTTATAAATAAATCATATTTTTTAAAGTTAAATTATTATTTTTTTAATTCCATACTTTATACTTATGTACTTGATATTGAACATTTACTCTAATAATATAAATAAACTTTAGTTTGAGTATAAGTATTAAATGCATTAATTTATGAGTATTTTAAAACAAAATTTATTAACTTTAATTTTTATATTAAATTTTTTAGAAATAATTTTTTTTTTATTTAGTAGTGACGTGCTATACATTTAACATCTCATGTCAATAACTATTTTGAAGTAATATGTAATATAATATAATTTGATGTATATCGTGTGATTGTTAAATATTTTATTCTAAAAGCTAAAACTTTATTAAATTATATTTACAAAACTAAAAAAAGATTTTACTTATGACTATTTAGTTGCTTATAAAGTCAGCATTTTTCATACTTCATGGATAAAAATGATAATTTTACATCTTCCTATAACATTAAATATATATATTTTTTACTCAATATTTTTATTTAAAATATTAAGTAGATTGATTGAAAGATATTGTAGAAAAAGATAATAATATCATTTCTTTTCTTTTCCCTTTCCTGTAACTGATATAACAGTTAATGTTTGGTATAATAATTGGTTGTTAATTCTACTATCTTACTAATAAATATAGCAAAAAGTGAGAGACTGAGGCTGTGAGTGGCTCCATGTTAGTACTCACTTTAATCGATGTTCCATAAAATGAAAAAATATGAAAGCAATTTAACATACGTCGTGATTCATGCTTTTAATTAAATGATCGACCACTATTTTTAGTTGTTTACGTGCATTTAACAAGAAACAAAAGAGGGAGCTGGATAGAAATTTATTAAGTTTTGAAATTACGTTATGGTGTTCTATTTATTATAAGTCTCATTACTTAATTATTATTTTTTTAAAAATTAAAAGTAGTGTTAGAGCTGGATCGACCTAAGGTGACCAACTCAGAGTAGATGAATCGCGACTAAGAGAGTCAACGGTATAAATTTATGATTAATATGAAATTGAACCATAAAAAAGAAAAACGATGATACTAATGACACATATAAAGAGTATAAACAGCTCAAAAAATATCGTTAAATGGATGATAGTTCACGTAATGTAAACTACAAATACTTGTGATAAAAAAAAGATTTTGCTATAGAAGGAGTCAGATAAAAAGATAAAAATTTATAAAAAGATAAATCCATATATTTACTGTCTTTAACGATTTGAGATTACATTTTGATGTCCTCCTTATTATAAAACTCTCTACCCAGTTACTCTTGAAAATATAAACCAAAAGTTGAGTCCCCACCTTTCTTCTTCACATCACTTCACAAAGTACATTGCAATGCAGTGGCAGTAGGAGTTGGAGCATTTCAGTTGAAGGTGATGATGCATTTGGGGATAAAATTGATGAGAGCATGTTGTTACTTAATGGATAGATGTTAATAGAAATGCAAAGATTGTTCCCAAAACAGACACAGCTTCGCCCATTCCAATAGCTGAAAGGCATGAGAGATGTTGGAGAGTGAAAACATTAACCATTTCCTTTCCCCCAAAAGAAAATCTTACTTTCACTGCTCATCAGTCATGTCCCTTTCCTTTCCCCCTTCTCTCACCGCATTTCCCCTCGTCTCGACTAACTATCACTCCTAATTATTCTTATTATTTTTCAACTTTATCAATTCTACACCAATCATTATCAGTTCAACCCCTTTTTTTTTGTCTCTTCTTGTTTTTCTTTAATCGACAAGCACCCAACCAGGTTCCCGAGGATAAGCATTGTCAACATTTGAGGTTACGAGGATAAGCATTGTCAACATTTGAGGTTTAGAGTTGGACCAATCCCCAACGTTGATAAAGTTATTACTTGACGCTCATATTATTTTTCTTCATATGCATAACGCATCAACTTTAACACTTTTTTTTAAACAAACAATAACAATTATTATTCATTAAATTAAATTACTTTATTATTAATAAATAATAATATAAATAACTTTTATAGACAATGTTAGCATTATTTTCTAATTGAAATTAATTTTTTTAATAATTTGTATAATAAAATTTGATATTGATTCAATATTAAATACTAGTTATAAAAAAAACTTTAATTTTAATTTAAAAATAACACTAACAATACAATTAAATTTTTATAAAACCCTAATATTTTTACTATAACATTACTTATCTCTTTTTTATATCACGACACCTTATTTATCACATTTATTATTTCTCTCTTTCCTATTCTTATTTTTTCGTATTGCAGATGTTACAAGGGATGTTTATTAAATATTCTTTTAGTTTAAAATTTATAAATTTTAAAATTATATAAAACATTGAATAAGAATGTGATAATTCAAAGTTACCATTAAAACATGCCAATTTTAATTTCTAAAATTAAAGTAGCACTGGTGAACACTTTGAGTCTATAGCAATGAGCGAGTCTCAACACCCTCAGTCAAGACTCGAGCAAGAAGAAAACCGATTATTTAGGCAAAAATATGGAATTGACATAACCTAATAATAATGGACCACGAGGTGTTGGTTCAAAAGTGGTGCTTCTGCTACTGCCTAGATATACACAGCAAAGATCTGATTCTTATTCACTTTCTCAGAAAGAAGAGCTTTCCAACACACATTCACACTCGTGGAAATGCAAAACAGAAACACCACTCAATTGGCGAATGATCTTCATTCATCGTAAAACGGCTATTGTCTCTTGCAGCTAGCCCTGCCATGACTACTCGTTTTTTTTACCATTCTTCCCAAAACCTGATGCCGTCAGACCGAGAAAATATATTGTACTCTCACGCAATTATCATATAATATGACAAAATTTTAATATTTTTTATTAATTAGAAAACATAATTACATATCAGATTAACCTACCCCAAACTACCCAATAATTACGACATCTTCCTATGTACAAGCTACATTTTGAAGACAGCTCATTTGTTGCTTAACATCTCAAAGCCACTACTTTTATCCTTCATTCGTAGAATTTCTAGATAATTCCGGAGATATATCCTGCAATGAATCGCTTACACATCCTGCCAGCTCAGAAGACTCGCATTCTGTATCTACCAAAAACAATTCAATTCAAGCAATGTAAAACTCTTCAATTCAACAACTTTAAGGCATTGAGAAAACTGCAAAGAAATTCTTTTGAAAAAAATGGAAAACAATAATTTACCTCTAGAAGCATTGAAGGATCTCTTGCAATGCAAAATAGCACCCTGAATCCCATCCTGTTGCTGCAACAGCGAATCATCACGCCGCCTCGAAGAAACTAAAGCTGCCGCCGCCGGGGTCGGTGTCGCCGCCGACGAAGACGCCGAACGACTCTTCCCCAAATGCTTGCACACAACTCGTAGCCCTGCAGGCAGAGGAATGTTCCCCTGCTTCTGACCCTTCCCGTTGGTTCCCGCAGTTTCAGAACTTTCAGCTTCCGTCTGAGGCTTCTCCGCCACCCCCTTGGCCGGAGAAGACTCCGGCTGTGGCGTTTCCGCTTTATCTGACTCAGGTGTGCTCGCGTTGAGCTGCTCAGAGAACCTTCTAGAAACCTTAACGTAAAGAGGTTTAACCATTTTAAAATACTTGCGCATTAAGCGATTTTCGTCGGAAGCAGAAGAAAGTGATAGCGTCTCTGTTTGTGACTGCGACTCCTGTGTGTTCTGAGAAGGTTTTCCTTTTGAACTGTTATCTCTGGTGAAGAAAGACAGAATGGGAGCTTCTTCAACCTTGAATTTCACTGTAAAAAGCTTTCTCTGTTGCGACTTCTTGGGCTGTGAGTCAGAGGCGTTGGGCTCTTTGTCGGAGACGACGTTGGGCTTTGATTTCTTGAGGCCCAACATGAAGACGCGGAACTTGGTGGCGGATTTGAAGAAGGAGGCAGTGAGGTGAGGCTTGGAGTTAGGTTCGGAGTGGGAAGGTGAGGGCGAAAGGTTAGGGTCATTGCTGGAATTGGAAGGGGAAATGGTGAACTTGAACTCACTCTCTGACTCTGACTCTGACTCTGAGTCATCGTTGTCGTTGTTATTAATATCATCGTCGCCTAGGTCGTCGTTTAGATTTTCATTAGCGTCTTCAGAGTCGTCGGGTAGAGTGAACTCTAAGTCGAAGAAAGGGCCATCGTCGGTGTCGTCTTGGTGGGTTTGGATGTCGCTTAGAGGTAGTGTGGGTGAGGTAGGTGTGAGAGTGAGTGCGGCACCTCCTTTCCAGTATTTGAGAAAGCTAAAAGCTTCCATGGTTGGGAAAGCCAGTATAAGTGGAATACACAGAAAAAGGAGAATAAAGAAAATAAATGGGGTGTTGAGAAAATAAGGGAAGGGTGAATGGAGGTTGCAGTGGCTGCAGAGAGCGAGTGTTTTTGGCTATGCCTTTATTTTGTCTGCTTCCTGAACTGCAGGTGACTCATGTGAGACAAGTCAGAGTAAAATTGTATTTTCATGGGAATCAATAAAGAGTAAAGTATAATTTATAAAATAATTTTTATGTTTTTTAAGATTCAAGAATCAAGTACACTCTTTTATTAAATAGGAAATTAATTAAATAATAGTTTTGATAAATTTTCTCTGCTTTGAAATTTAGAGGAAAGGAGAGTAAAATGTAGATGTTAAAATTTCTTCAAACTTAATTTCTTCTCCCTTTAAATCGGATGGTTTTAAGAGGAAAATTATTTGCATTATTTATTTATTCATTTTATTTACTTTTAAAAAACATAATAGTAAATTATTTTTTTATTTTATATTTTTTTATATGTTTAATTAGTGGTTTCAATTAACTTATAATTTATTAACATATATTTTTTGGACTAAACAAAGGTGCTTGATAAGAAAACTTTTCATAAATTCATAGTCTTTTTTAAACACTATTTTAAATTATATATAATTTTATATCTTACTATTTTAAATCTTCGCTTCTAATGTTTTAATAAAATGTCTATTGTGTATATCGAATAAAATAGATTATAACTTACAAGAGCATGGGAACAACCTAATTAAATTATCATAAATATTTACGTTATTTTATAGACATCAACTTTATGTCATCTACAGTTTTCTTCAACTTAAATGTTATTAAAAAAAATTAACCTATTTATGAATTAAAATACTATAAAGATCCTATTTTATTTTTAGAGCTAAACTTAGACTTTTATAAGTAACAAGATTTTATTAAACAAATATTTATTACACTAGAGATAAAAAATATATAAAAAATATTTTTTAATTAAAATTATTATTATTAATTTTTTAAATGATAGAGTATAGCTAAACGATATTTTAATTTTATTTTAATAATTTATGCAATAAAGTTTTGTGTAAAGGTTGAGACACGTTATGAAGAAACAGAGTTTAAACAACTTCAAAAAAGAGAGACACACTAAATTGCCTTTTTTAGCATATTTACATACATGTTGCAAACATCTAATTGTATATTAACTATACAAATACAAAAATAAAGATAAATGATAAAGTATGGAATTAAATAAACATTCATACCACGCATTAACGCTCAATTTTGTTTTCTAATTCATTTTTTAAACGTGTGTTTAAGGGGATGTTTTAGATATTAAAATTAAATAATATATTTGATATATATTTATATAATAAATTTAAGTATTTTTTAGAATATATTCAATATTTTCAATATATACTCTTATTAGAATAGTGGTTTTTAATTTAGGCTGCAGAGTGCAGACCTACCTACCTACCTGCTAGTTAATGGGGGCCTGTCTTCCATAGCTAAATTGCAATGCATTGTTCTGTACAGTACAGTATACACTGCATGGTGCTGTCAACCCTCCCATTAAATTTTACCTATATTTTATGCGTTGTGCCATTTTTTAAAAGCCATTTATCGACATTTTAGATGATTAGTAATTTCTACGAACGTTCCAGTACTGGAAATATTTTGCGTAAATTTTGTAACATGAATCGTATATATTCCTTGAGTTCACATGTGAAGAAAACTGGGCAGAGAAAATGGGGACCCTCAGGGGTGCAGGTCTGAAGAGTAGCAGAGAAGAGGAAAAGTGGAGCCCTTTGCATTATTTTCGAGTGCCAAGTTCTAATCAAAGATCGTGCGAGACGCACTATCCTTTTAGGTTTCACAATCACTAGTCATTGTGTTGGTGGGAAAATGAACCGTTTTGATATTGTTTCTGTATCGGCTAAGCTATCAAACCATGCATGCTTAGGTACCGTTTCATTGTTGGGTACACAGAGAAGGATATGTCTATAATTTCACCCAACCACTACAAATAAATACATTCCGTATTTATGAATTAATTGAGTTGTCTGCAGAATGGAGAATCTTACTATTTACTATCTAAATTTGACTAATGTTATTTTTATAATAATTTTTGCACATATTATCTGTTATATTTTATATTTTTTTACTCTTTTTTTTTTATTAAAAACTATTATAAATTTGTGTTTTATAGATAACATTTTAATTCAACATTTAAACAAAGAAATGTTTATAATTTAAAAATCTTATTTTGATATTTAGACAACTTCACATTATTGCATTAAAGATAATCACTTTATTTTAATGCATTAATGCTGTACTTTGTATTAGATTTTTCGGAAAATGTATTTAGTAGTTAAGTTTTTTAAATATTATCTTTTTTAAATTTTAACATGACATTGTTTATTAGCTGAGTAATTATGTATTTTCTTTATTTTTTAAAATATTATAATATTTTTTTTTTACATTTAAGAATCTCATAATCAAATATTATAGATCCCAGTAACGCTTATAATCTTATGATATTACGCATAGTCGCATACAAAATATAATCTCATATTATTAAAATATTTGAAATTCATATTAAATCTTTGACTATCATGAAAGATTACACACAATGCAATGAAAATATTAATATAAAAAATTATGAAATTTACATGTCTTTGTTTACTGTTATCAACCAATTAGTTCATTTTTTAACATGAAATTTTAATAAAAAAATATTTACTTGATATATATATATATATATATTTCACACATCACTTTACAATATCATCTAAGGTAAAACTGAATCAATCAAAATGTTTGTACAGTGTGACCTCTCCTAAGCCTCGTTATTTAACTTCGTCATGAAGGTCTTAATCTTGATTCTTGAACGCTCAGTCGCACGTTCAAGGATCACGCCAAATCAACGAAGAAAGTGCTAATATCTAGAAGAATGTTGATCATTTCAACGTTCATTTAAAAGTTACATTATCAAATTTTGCTTATGCAGATTATACATAATAAAGGCGTTATGTCTAAATAGGCGATAGATAAGGGTCCATATGAAAAGCACTATTTTGTGTAGAGGCTTATAAGAACTAATTATAAATTTAATGACTCATTTAAATGCGGCTTACGAGAGTCGGCATGTACCTGTAAGTAAGTTAATAGATTTGAACAACAGGTTTGCACGTCAACCCGCAAGTCAAAGCATTGTTTGTATTGACCGAAAAAGACAACATTTTTTACATTAATGAGAAAATGTGTTTGATTAAGATGTAGGTAACAAAGTTTGTGAAATGATTACCATTTACTCATCTGGACCTGGTTAGCTTTCTTACTATAACTAATTGATGAATCGAATTTAGAAAACTATCCAATAAAGAATATGATGTTGAAAGAGATTGAATCACGCGAAACTTATGTGTAGTGATACAATGTTCATTTAATTTTTTTATTTTTGTGTGTGTGTGTATTTAGTCTAAAGATTTATTAATCTTTTTGGTTTGTCAGTTTTTAAACTATCACATAGTAAGGTTGAAAGGACCACAATGATTATCAAATCACACTATTTTTAATGAAACACAAGGATTTAAAATATAAAAATTAAATTAAAAACTATAAAACTTTTAAGAACCAAAAAAGTATTTAAATTAAAAGAATATATTTAAAATATCCCATTTGATCTAAAATTTCATAGAAAAGAGTTAATAAACCAATGTCTATACCCTTGGGTTAGTGTAACACTAACATTGGTTTCGTGAATTGGGCCACGTGGGCAAGTTAATGAATTGGGTGAGTTGGTCTGAGCTGCAGGCCTATGGGCCGAAGTGCTGCATTATGGCGACGCTATATGAAGTATGAACATTGGAAGGCTGAAGCACGTGTTGCAATAGGTAAGGGTATAGACAACGCATATTCGTTAAATGTTCTCTCTCTCTCCCTTACTCTAAATTACCACAATACCCATTTCCAAGCCAGCAGTTATTTGCAAACCAAAGACAAATCCTAAATCTTGATGGCATTTTGTGTGAAGCTACGCAACACAAAACAAGTGTCATCATCGTCGTCCATGAATAGATCCAGGTTGTTCATCTCTATAAACGATTATAGCAGGAGACCACACAGCACGTGCAACTAGAACACACACACACACACACAGAGTTCAGCAACTCAACCTTTTGCTTCTCATGCTTGCCCTCCATTCTCTTCCTTTTTGCGTCTTTCTGTTTGAGACTAATTAAGGTAATTCATTTCTACCCCACTGTCCCTCTACTTTTTATCTCTTTACTTTACACCACATATAATCTCCATTAGTTTTACTAACTATGAAACTTTATTGCTCTGATTTCTGGGTGTCAATGAAAACAATCGAATAATTCATTTTCTCTTTGTACCTTTGTGGAATTATGAAATATAATATATCTTAATAAACTGCGTTTATTAAGACCCGGCATAGAGGATGTACATTAATATTGTTCATTCTATGTTAGTTATGATAAAAGGCATTTATATCTCGCATGCATCCACAGTGTAGTTAAAGAAGAACAATATCTTGTAATCGATAATTTTGCCTCAGCCCAAATATTTGTGGCATAATCAAATTCTCGTTAATATCATCCCCTTAACCCGGTTCGGGAGGGGTTGTTCTTTGTTTTAGCAAGAAGTGTTGTTGGGTTGCAAATATTTGACTCGCCAACAACCGCTACAAAAGCTTGAAAACCACTCACAAATTCACCCGTTTGGGGTTTTTCTATTGGAGCTGTCGAGTGTGGGTGAACTGGATTGAGAGTAACAGATTAATCAAGTGACATGCCAACTAATCAATTAAAAATTGTTCATCTCAGTAGACACCTTGACAGAGACTTTGACATTGTTTTTCTATATACTCTCGGTTGGTCTCTTGCATCATTAGCTATTATACCTGTGTCTGTTCTAGTTGGCGTAAATGTCATCTTTCTTTCGTCTTTTCTTAGGTCTGTTCTTACGCTTAATTTTTTACCCGGTGTTCGGAATCTATTGAATCAAACCACTCAATCATTTAGTTATAAATTATTATTTAATCCTAAAATCCAACCGTTACAAACACATGAGGATTAATAATTTCATCTTTATGTACCAATAAATAACAATGATAAGTTCATAACAGTTTTTGCCACGTCTGATTCCCTATATAGTGCTACAATTCTTTGTACTCTTATTCCATTATTCTTCTATTATATTATTTTTATTTAGTTTTTCACCTTGATTAATTTTTATGTGTTTAGAACAATATAAACGTGAATTTTACATAAAAATTATAATTAGTTGCATTAAAATAAACACGAATCTATTTGCATTTTAATTTAAAACCAAACATGGTATACTTACTTTATGCACACATCCGAGCCAGATTCTATTATTTTGTTCAGTAGCCAGACTTAAATTCTCCAATTTTGTTACAGGAAAAGCCATTGATTTTAAATATAATGGTCAAAATTTCACGATGTCGTTAAGGTATTTTTTAAAGAAAATAATATGGTGAAATTTAACCATTAAATTTAAAATCAGTGATCCAAATTCAGTCGAAATCGGTATATATAATATATATAATCCCTAGTTGAGAAAGCCCAAAAAAGTGTAATATACGTACTTGTTTTACATCCAACTGGATGATAAGATCAAGATTGTTAGCTTGCTCGGGTTGTGTTGCTCTCAGCAAACCAAATTAGCATTAAGATATAAATCTAATTTGGACTCCTTTTCCTCACGGTGGCGTTCCTTGATTGGATGGTTGTTGCATTATACCCGAAATGTTTTTCTTTTTCCATCGGGTCTTAAGGTTGTAGTTTTCGTTGTGGGAGTTACGAAATGGTTGTTTCCTGCTTTTGATGCTTTGCATGTTGCCTTCCCTTTTGTCCACAACGCTTTCTTTTTTGGTCCACAACGCTTATTTCCTCTCCAAGTACCTGTGAACATTTGAACCTTTTTGGGGAAGGCGTGGTCTCTCACAAACAGGTTGGAGATGGGGTCTAGAATTCCTTTAGGTCTGGATTAGTGTCACAAAACGATGAAGGAAATTGGGGTTGGCCCTTTACAGCTTTCATTATGTGCCTTTGTATATGTTGCCAATGATTAATGGATTTCGTATTTTGTGAGGAATCGGTTTAGAGGACAAAACTAAATTTGAATTAATTTAATTATGTCTACACATTAGTATCTATTTGTTTTTATTTAAGGTGTAATTGTTATTCGTTTTATTTATATTAGGTTAGATATGATTAATTTTTCAGTTTCTTTCATTAATCTTTAATGTGTGAATTCATCAAATCATATATATGTATGTATCGGTTTTTTTTATTACATACATATACACACTATAGAAAAAGAAAATTATGTTTGAATTGAGGTATATTAGAAACATATACAAATACACACGTATATATTATGAAATTTTATTTGGTAAAATATTATTTCAAAAATATAAATAAGATTTTTGTTTCATCTGGGATGGATTGATCTTAAGTTTTAGATTTAAAATATATCTAATATAATTAATTTTGATTTTTTTATTTTTAAGTATGTTTTTTATTCTTTTGACCTTTTTATTAGGTTGTTTCGATTTTAAACATTATGCTTTTCTTTTTCAAAAAAAGAAAGATTAGTTTATTCTTAGTTCAGACTTGTTACAAGCATTAAGATCTTTTATAATAATATTTATAAATAATCAACCAATGAAAGTGTCGAATTGAATCATTACCTTTTCTGTTAACACTTTTAGATCCAACTAATCCCATGTACGTGAATTTTATTCGGTACATGCCTTCCTTTGATTGACATTTCAGCTCAAAGCAATGGAAGAAATGGTGGGGTCGATAATTTCACATCAATTCATTGATTTGCTTGAACATGATTAGTAGGTGCTTTGGGTTTTGATGGTCTATCATGTTGATTTAAGCAATTGCTCGTCATTATCTTTTAAACGAAAAAATTAAAATAAAATTCTAACATGCAAAATGTGTTGCAAGGGTAAAAGTAAAAAAAAAAAAGAGGCTTAAATCACATGGGGGTGTTAAGTAATGAAAGGCTAAATGCTATGCAATTTCGTTATTCTTTAATTAATCATTACACAAAGAAAAGTATAATGTTAATCATTAAATTCTAACCTTTACTCTATGTTTGATTGAACTTTTGCTGTAAAAATCACAGAAAAAGGAGGATGGGCCTGTATGTAACATTAAAATATGGGGTCATCACTGGTTTGATTATTGTCTTGATGATGATATATGTGATATATGTAATATATTGTTAATATAAGCAATGTTATGAATTTGATATTGAAATTGAAGTGTACAGTGTTGAGGAACTGAATGGACACGGATTGGGGCAGTCACATATCCTCGTCAATTGAAATGAATTACAAGGCATCCTCATCGGTGTGGGACACGTATTCCCGCATGCCTGTCCCACCATTGCTTCTCATGCCCCCGCGAAGATTCTGCTATTTGTCTATTTTACATCCAAACATGCAAAGTAAATGCTAAAGGCCTAGAATCTTCTCTTCCACTCCGGGTCGGGCCTCTTGTTTTTCCACCGCGTAAGCTCACTCCAATTTTCTTAACTCTTAAGAATTAAGTTTGTTGACTAAAAAGAAAAGAATTAAGTTTATAAGTTTTGGGGACTAAGATTCAAAATTTCATATATATATTTTATATGTAATAAATAAATAAATAAATGTATTGAACCCGGGAATTTAGTAATCTGGGTCCCCACTCCCCAAACAACGCAATCCTACGTGTCGGAGATCTGTGTGCTGCAATATGGTGATATTTTGTTTGTTGAACTGCGTGTGAGACTTTGAAGCACCGATTACGGTCCTAATGCCACGTGTCCATATTCATGACATTTAAATTGAGTTTTTTAACGGCTTGGGTCCCTTGGCACTTGCGAAATGTGAAAGTGGAACGCAGCGACGCACATTCACTATCTGTAATCGGGTCGGGTCATCCATTTCGAGCCCGATTTTGACCCATGAGTATTTCGGGTCATAGAATTGAACGGCCGAGATGCCATCCATCGTGATGAAACTCGCTATTTAGAGATGGAAATGAAAGTGAGCGTTACTTTTGCTTTTGCACACAGCACACTCCTGAGGGAAAGGCCAGTTTCTTATTCCTTCCAGACGCTTCTATTCGAATCGAGGATTTAGGGTTTTGTTTTGTTTTTTTATTTTTTTGTTGTTGATCGGTGATCGGAAACGTGAGATTCTGAGTGTGAGGAGAGATGGCGGAGCATCACGAACACGAGGAAGCGAAGGGTGAATCACTGTTGGACAAGGTTTCGGGGAAGATCCACGATCATGATTCCTCTTCTTCGTCGGATTCAGACAACGAGAAAAGCAACTCTTCTCCTTCATTCAAGAACAAGGTTTTCAGGCTTTTCGGCCGGGAAAAGCCCATCCACACTGTTCTTGGCGGTGGAAAACGTATGCGATTTTTATTTCTGATTTTCTATTAGTCTTTTTTTGTGCTACCTTATTTTTTATTCTTGCAATTAGTGTTTTTTCTCGTATAAATTGCTCCGCAACCTAAGTTCTGATTCGAGAAATTTGTTTCTTGCTCTTCCAGTGATGTGAGTTGGTTTATAGGGTGGGTCTTGGGTTTATGAAGTTCAAGTGAGATCTTGTATGTTCGATTGTTGTTCTTGTTGCTCTATTCATATTTTTTGGAGCTATTTAAAAAAAAAAATAACAAAATGATCTACATAGTTTTTGGGGGCTTAGATCTGCATTCCACTGTTCCTCCAGTTGTGTGTTTTGCCCCAAATTCTCCCCAATTAATATAGGTACCTTAGAAGATCTAAGTTCCTAGCTTCGATAATAGCTGGATTTTTGTGAGTGTATTGGAGGAGTTTGGCATTTTTCCTGCGTTTTAATTGTCAACTCAAGTCAAACATTGAGGACTCACCTTGACTATAATACTGCTTCTTGATTTACCTCTATTTTAATGGCATGGGTTTTTTCAATTTTTATTTAGGGCCTGTAACATGTTCACTATTTGTTTGCTCTGTGTGTTTTTGTTTTACACTGAATTGCTTGTTATGGAACAGCGGCGGATGTTTTTCTATGGAGAAATAAGAAGATATCTGCGACGACGCTCGGAGTTGCTACAGCTATATGGATTCTGTTTGAATTGCTTGAATATCACCTTCTCACTTTGGTTTGCCATTTCCTGATACTTGCACTGGCAGCATTGTTCTTATGGTCCAATGCGTCGACGTTTATCAACAAGTAAAGTGTTAAATGTTAATACTGTAATACGATTTTCTGATACTTTCCCACTCTGTTAGTTGATTAAATTACTTGTTTTGATTATGATTAGGAGTCCACCAAGGATCCCACAATTGCACATTCCCGAGGAACCTGTTTTAGAGTTTGCCTCTGCTCTTAGACTTGAGATCAATTGTGCTTTTTCTGTATTAAGGGATATAGCATCTGGAAGGGATCTCAAGAAGTTCCTATCAGTATGTTGATTTCCTTTTTATCATACGTTTTTATGTTGTCCATTGTTGCATTTGCTGTCCACTCTGAAATTTGTGGTGATTAAAATCCCCCGGGGGTGGGGGAAGCAGGTGGGGTTTACGGGCGTGCCTCAGTTTGTTTACATTGTTTACATTGCCATTGATATCTTCGTTTTTGTATTACCTGTATGCTGGTTACATACTTGGCAGTTCTCTACTAGTGAGTCTTAGCGGGAGGACCGCAGGTTTTGTATCCTGCAATGTTGCAGATTGTTGTGCTGATTTCTAACTTCTTGGTTGTTGTTTTGTATGGTTTTTGTTTTGTATTATTCAGGTGATTGCTGGATTATGGGTTTTCTCTATTCTAGGGAGCTGGGCCAACTTCTTGACGCTGTTCTATATAGGTAATGAAGTGCCTTTTATCCTTTGACATTTACTGCCTTGAAAGTTCAAATATTAACCTGAATTGTACATACTTAGATGTGATGTGCTATATTTTCGTGAAACAGCTTTTGTTTTGCTTCACACTGTACCTGTGCTTTATGAGAAATATGAAGATCGCGTGGACTCTTTTGGTGAGAAGGCACTAGCCGAGATTAAGAAGCAATATGCAGTGTTCGATGCGAAGGTTTTGAGCAAGATTCCCAGAGGACCTTTGAAAGATAAAAAGAAAGATTGAAGTGGCACTCAAGTTTGACAAATATGTTGTAGTTGGGTTCGTCAATGTGCTGTTAAATTTAGATTGATCATCAGTTAAAACCCCTATCATGTCAGATTTTAATTTTTTAGGGTCCTTTAGTAGACATTGTGGAAGAAGTATCTTATATAACTTTCTGCTGCTTACATGTACCCCACAAAAAATCCTATATGCTCATGGATGACTGGTTATCTGTATTTTGTGTTGTATTTATATGAAGAATACATACGCCGTGCATTTAAATGCTTTTATAGGAGTGATCGTTCTGTTTTCCAACTCACGCAAGCTTGAAGTAGCTGTTGGTGAGGCGGTGAGGCCCCCCCATCCAGTGTCTGCCCTTGTTCGAACTTGGGCACTGATCAGTTCTAAGAATTACCACAATTATTTCACCCGGGTCATGCAGTCTGGAAGCTCTTGTACAGGTTCCGACATTTTGTAGTACCTGCCTGGGCTTGAACACGGGTTTTGGTCATCCCCCCTCTTACGTCTCTACCCTACCCATACGTAATAAAAACAGGTTCTTCATGACAAGGATATAAATTCTATTAAATGATAATGTAATTAATTAAGAGATAATGGTATATAGATTTTTAGTGGGATTATATTTGCAAGATACATTAAAATTTTAAAAATAAAATATAGAGATAAGAAGTTAGAAGAAATTAAAATAAATTTATGAATGTATAAGATTTAAAAATACATTAATTTTTATTATGTATATTATAGTCGGTCGTTAAAATTGAAGTGCAAGTGTGCTCATCTTAAAGACGTAAATACTATTGTCATCACATTTTTTTCCACGTTGAGCGGTGAAGAAAAAGAAAATGTATTGCTTATTATATAGTTTATCAAGTGGCAAGAGGTGTTGTATAAAGAGAAAAGCAAGAAAGTCTACTGCTTTCCATATACAACAGGTGTTGGCAATAAAATAAGGTGATATTATCTTTGTTGTCTTAATCTTTCTTTGTAACTTTTCATTAATGATTCTGTTATTTCTGTATGCAATTTAAGCTAACAAGTAACAACTAAAAATTCTGTAAAATGAAATATGAGGTTCTGTGCTCGTTTTTCCAATATTATCCCAAGTCATCCATGTAACTTGACAAGAGCTTCCGCAGCTGCGGCTAGAATTGAGAAAAGAATTTGCACAATGACTGACTTTACGTGGACATCCAAATTATTAGTATTGCGAGCTCAATGATAATTGAATTTTAAGTAGAAGTCATTTTTACATATTTCTACGAAGCAATTTATTCTTCTGCATAATAATATCAGATAGGGGAAAAAGGTAAGGAAATAACGGCCGTCTAATGGACATGATAAATATATTTTTAATATCTTTTCTGCCTAATATCAGTGTTAGAAAAAAGTGTGGAAGAATAGATTATCATTTTTCTTATCAGTATATTGCATTAGGTAAGACTGTGCTAGTTTGTGCTGACAAACTGAAGCCCGTACTATATATTCTTTGTAATCTATTTCAAATAGTAACTTTTTTCGGATGAAATGTTTCAACATAATTAAATATTAATTAAGACTATCTGATAATGTTACCCTGGCGTTATTTTCGCTCCCCTAATTGCTGCTTGGTAAACCGTATTGAAAAGATTTGCATAACAAAGGTTTTCATTTCAGTGTAGTATTCTCTGTCCACACGAATGGATCTTCAGTCTTCATATGATTGTGTCATAAAACAGACAGAGGTTATTGATATTCCATATTTTAATGAAAATGGCAAATTTCATTGAAAACACGGTGGAAACATTCTATCGTAATGGACAAAAGATGTCCTGCTGCGTGAAATTTCAAGAGTAGGAACATAATTTAAAATTTTAATTAGAAGTTACATGCATTATGCTATCACATTGAATCACACAACATTTTTTATTTCTTGCACATACAATACAGGTTTAGTAAATCACCGACGCACCATATAATGCTAATACATAAAACCACCACCTGCTTTTAGTGATCAACAGCAAACTTTGAAACACCATTTTATAGAATAGCAATAAGTTACCTTAGTAACTAGTTATATTGGTAGGTTGTTGCAGCCTATGGGAAAAATACCCAAGATATATTAGCTTAGTTCCTAAGCTCAAGGGAATGAAGCCAGCAAGGTATTCTCGGAAAATATATATAGACAGCAGATATTGCTTGTTCGTGGAAATGTTCCTCACACTAACTCATTGAAAGGGTGCAGCTACGATTTTTTTTTTTTTCTTGTTCATAGGAAGTAAGACAATTGCTGTTGCTTCCTTGAACCTCCTTCTCCGTACAAATCGTTCCACTGTTTCAACTCACTCATTCCAGCCCCTTCAGCTGCAAAGCTAGCAGCAACCTGCGATCCAACAAGTTAGATCAGATCAAGCAGTATACAAATAGACGTTTTACTGGCAATGAAAGACCCATTCTTATTATATAACTGGATTAATCTAACTTGAGCTCCACATTTAAAAAAAAAAATCTTTTATTTATTAGTGGTGTTACCTGATTCTTGGCCTCTCTGAAATCCTGCATGTTCAATGGCCTAAGGGTAATAACTCTTTCCTCTTCTGCATCTATAGATTGTACTTCTTCACTGTCTTGGACATCTTCATTCTTTCCCTCGGCAGCTTTCTGCTTTTTATCCTGCAAAAAAAATAAAAAATAGAAAATCAGAGGTTAACATAATGAACACACATAATCAGGATTATAAAGATATTAAAAAAAAATTTATACAATTAGCAATTACCAGACTCTTCAGCCTTTCTTGCTGAATTAACTCTCTAACAGGTCGATAAGCAGCAGTTGTGCACAAATTCTGTGTTGAACAGTTTTTGACAATGAATGGATAGGTTTAATCAGAAAGCCCAAATAGAACAAAAAGCATTAACCATTTTAGAGAATAGTACAAACCTTTAGATCACTTCCGGTATATCCTTCTGTCATAGTTGCAAGTTCCTTAAAATCAAGTTCACTATCCACCTTTTCTTTTGCCAAAAGAGTCCTCAAAATCTTTTCCCTGTTCTCCACAGATGGTAGTCCCACCATGATTCTGCATTACAATAGATTCAAATGATCAAAATATTACACAACTTCAGGGAGGATATTCAGATTTTCACGCGCACACATTATAGATAGCTATATGTCGTCATCATCATTGCCTTTTATATTGCCATCGCATTTGCTCTCACCTCCCTCACACATAAAATTCACAATGAATAGGAAGTAGTATACACATAAATGGAGAAAGTGGAAATCTAGTAACGAGATAAAGAATGTAGTGAGTACCTTCTTTCAAATCGCCTAATTATAGCTTCATCCAGATCAAATGGCCTATTTGTTGCAGCCAGAACAAGGATACGCTCTCCAGGTTTGGTTAAAAGCCCGTCCCAATGAGTCATAAATTCATTCTTTATTTTCCTCATGGCTTCATGCTCCCCGACTCTGGTCCGTTGCCCAAGCATGCTATCAACCTCGTCCACAAATATAATAGTTGGGGAGACCTTGGCTGCAAGCGTGAATAAGGCGCGAACATTCTTCTCATCTTCACCAAACCATTTAGAAGTGATGGTAGACATGGACACATTGATGAAACTTGCTCCAGCCTCCTTTGCAATGGCCTTTGCTAGCATTGTCTTCCCAGTGCCAGGAGGACCAAACAACAATATTCCTCTACAAGGCTTTAGAAGGCCTCCAGTGAAAAGGTCTGGCCTTCTAAGAGGAAGCATTACAAGTTCTTGAAGGGATTCTTTGGTCTCATCTAAGGCACCAATGTCAGAGAATGTGACATCAATCTCTTTTGCCGGTACTACCTCCGGCCTTATTCGCTTCTCAAACTCATTATCAGGTGGAACTTGCTGCAAGTGATTAATGAACATCAAATGTTGAAGTGGAATTTACAGAACAGACAAATAGAGTCAGCAGAATAGAAAGGAGTGTTTCTTAAATCCTGTATGGTATGAAATCAACAGTATGTTTGAACTTTGAATAAGCCTCTTACAAATATACTTGCAATTTTATTAGAAAATAAAGGCTTACAGGGGCTTTTGATGGTGCCGGAACTGAATTTTCACCATCTGCCTTTCCCACTGAATTTGATGTTTCTGCTTCAGCCTTTTTTACAGGAGCAGCATTTTCAGACTTCGCTTCCGGTTTTGTAGCAGTTCCTTCACCTTTTTGCATCTTTTATGTCCACAGGAGAGAGAGAGAGAGAGAGAACATTGAAAGCATATCAGCACATGGTAGGTGTTCTCAATTTAATAAACAAACATAACAAGTTGTGCAAACCTCAGATTTTACAGCTTGATCTTCCAATTTTGATGTATCTCTTCCATTTGATTTCCCCTTGTGGAATATACTCAATGCATGGGACAAACTGTTTCACAAACCATAAAAGTATGTCATCAAATTAAGATAGTTCGGTGCAATTAAAGTTTGAACTTACTTTAAGCCTCACCTATTGCAAGAAATAACAAGTTTCCCATTTCTGTATTCTGGGTCTTTGTTTTTCATCAAATGATAAGAAATTGCTGACACAATAATCTCTTCTATATAGTTACTGAGAACCACTGTGTCTTGCACACAAATGGAATCCAGGTCATCACAATCAAGATCATTTGCTGCAAGCACTTCCATGATATGGTTTTTGTTATCCTGAACTTGTATCATCTTCATATCCTCTTCTAATTGAGACTTCCAGCTAACAAGATGTGACTCATCTTCTGGTGGCCTGATTTCTATGTTGTATGGGAAGAGGGAAGTAAGTTTCTCATCCACCTCTTCGTAGTCATTATCAGTATCAATGACTCGTGAACCAAGAATCAAAATTGGTCCAGATAATTTCTTCAACATTTTCTGGAACATGTTATATATCCTTTGTGATTTATATAACAACCTATCAACATCCCGCAGATATAGCACAATTGGATAAGTTTTTGACACAAAAACCAGAACCTGCAAGTAAAATTCCACTTATCAAGTCAATGTCATTCTGGAGGAATGTGATATGTGGCCTTGGTTAGTTTCAATAATGCTCTGATGCTGGAATATCCATATAATAATAAAAAAAATTTACCTTATAAAGAGACTGTATAAGAAGCTTTTCATCAAAAGACCAGCTGCTTGTACGCTTCAGAGGAGCTGAAAGGAGATTAAACATATAAGAAATCATGAGAGAGAGAGAAAGAAAGAGAAGCATGATCAAATGAGACTGCTCTCTCTAAAAATGAACGTAAAATATACTAGTTATTGCTCCAAAAGATTAAGAATCTAATGCATAAAACCAATTCTGTAAAAGATGCAGATTGTAACTTCAAATTGGAAAGTACCACTTTGATTTATGCATAAATTAACTAAACAATATGGGTCTGATCATGTAGCTGATTCAAGAATACAATGAAAACGCATCCCTCTTTCATATTTTGTCTTTTTCTTTACATGCTTCTGGCACTTGTATCATTCCGAAATTATATCTCTGCCTAAAAATAAATCTCTACCTGACCATAACTAGTAAATGAATAAAATCAACAGCCATAGTTAATCTTTTTATGTAATTTCTTCAAGTAACCTGAATTTGTAGGATTGCTTTGCAAAGTAAGGCCACTGATATTTGAAGAGGAAGAAGCATTCCTACGGAGCTTTGGAGGATTGCTAGATGCTTCAGCCCCCCTACAAACCAAAAGGCAAACACACACATTAATATAAATAAACTGGCAGCAAAGTTATATCTGTTTCTCACAATCTGAACATAGTTCAGATACATTGATTGGAGGTCCACTCCACTGCTTGGCCTGTGCATTTTGCCTGCAAATAAATACTCCAGGTCAGTGATGTAGTTTTTATAGGCATTCTAGTTAGTAAGTTGTCAATTACAGACTACCATATAGAATACCAATATCCTGATACAGTAGGAAGTTCAAGGGAATCAAACACTAGCTATCACACTTGGCAAACATTAAACAAAAACAGATAAAGTTATTTGCACACCCATCTAACCTTCCACAACATCTTTTATTCAATTAGAAGTTACCATTATTATAACTTTTCTTCGCATAAAACATAGCCGCAAAACCTTGAGTGAAAGGTTGACAAAGCTTTTGGTTGATTATGAATCTAGCTATGTGCCCGGGTCAGAGAAGATGTTAATCAGTTTGTACCTTTAGGTTCCTCCCTCTGTGGAAAGATTGAAAATGACCCAAATAGATCAGATAACCGCTCCAAAGTTGACTCAGAAGTGGATCTTTTGAAAGACTGCAATAGCATGTTTTGCTATGATGATAAGCAACATAAAATAATACACTCGGCAGAAATCAAAAGTAAAAGCAATAAACAATAAACCAGAAATATCTTACAGATTCTTTGTTGGTAGAACCATATTTACTCTGAATCTGCAGAAATGAAAGACCAACCATTATGTACATAAGTAACGGACGAAAGTAAAAATGACTCAAAACTTCTTACACTCCCTACTCACCTTCAATGAAAAGTCTGTTACATCCAACAAAAGCAACTTGGCCTCAAAGTAATGAGCCAAAGCCTTGGCAAGCATCTGTTGGTAAAGTTCTTTAGGACATAAAAAAGGGAAGAGGAGAAGATATAGTTAGCTTGACAGTGACAGTAGAAGCACCAAATCATATAAAATCCCTCATCAATAGATGCCAAGTAAATTACTAACCTGCTGGCCCTGAAAGCAGAATAGTCCTGCTTGCAGGAGCAAGATTACGTGTGTATTTAGAAACATCAGCATGCTTTAAATGGACATAAGCAGCACTTGTCAGCAAAACACGCGTCTGCTCACTGTTATCACGAATAGGATGTGAAGTGTTACTTATACCCGAACAGAGATTGAATAATCAATATATAGTAACGCTTCAGATATATGGTCAAATCAAGCCTTCATCAATGCAACAATAAGAGCATGAAATGGATTAGTATCCAATAAACTGTTTCAGTGAAACATTAATTAAATGTAATTTCTTAACAAATTATATTTGAAAAATATTGTCGCCATATACCAGATTATGTAACGTAATCTGGAAAATCATCTTACGGTTATATTTATATTACAGCATGTCATGTCAGATATAAACATAGTTCTGTTCATATCACACGGTTGTCCTCCCTCACAGACAAGGCCACCTGATTACAAAATTTCATTCATACGATTTCACTTTCACACAATGCAAAAGCATATGCCAACCGTGTAGGGATTAAACAAGAAAAACAGTACACAGGACAATTGAATTCAGATAAAATATGTATGCATGCCGTCGCCAGCAAACTTCTTTTAAACCATTTTGATTTTCCATGATTACAGGAAAAGAACCAACGTTGCATACTATAATATATATGAATGATCAAGAGTGTGTGTGTGTGTGTGTGTATAAAACCATGCTGGTTTGCATGCATAAGACATAAGAGAAAACAGATTAAGGAGCAAAAGTTTGTGGTGCGATGCCTGAGGTAATAAGGGAACTTATCAAAAGTGAGATTGCTTTCTCTTCCATCAACGACTTGTCGTAGCATTTCTTGCTCCATCTTCTCAGCAGAAACAGCGTTTGAGGAGAAAGTGTTGGCTCCCCATTTGCCAACGGTTTGCCCAGAAGCCAATCCAATCCCCACTCCCACTCCCACCCCAACACTCAACGCCGATATCAGTATGCTTTTCTGTTCCATCACTTCTTTCTAATGAAATAATATATCAGTAACTCTTAACTTCTTTTATAGAATGACAGAGAACGAAGAAGAACCCTCTCTTTATTTCTTCCTCTCTCTCTCTCTCTCTCACACACACACACACACACACAAAAGAACTAAACTTTATGTTATTAAGGGTTTTGGGGTGTAACTAAACTTTAAACTTGAACTATAGAGTATAAGTATAATATAATTAATATTAATATATGGTGGGTGGGTGCAATAACTGATAGTTTTTCCTTTGAGGGGATGGCGGTGAAAGTGGTGGTTAACGGCGGAGTGTTTATCAGTTCCCGCTTGTTTGTGCCTCTGCTTCATTGGTGTTTGGTGTTGAGTTTTTAAAGGGGAAGATTGGTGACTCATGTTTGTGTTATGTTACGTGTCACTCTTTTGACGGTTTATTTGTCGGTTTGACAGTTTTTTTTTTAATTTATTTCTGCTTTCTTTGGATATGCTTCCGCTTTTCTTTCTTCATCGTGAAGTTTTTTTTAACTCTTTAAAATGTTTCTTCTGTTTGATATATATATTTTTTGTTTTCACAAATAATTATAGAAAAGGAAATGATAATTATTTTCAAAACAAAACCGTCAATAACATAAAATCAAAAGGATAATTTATAATTATTATTATTAATAATAAAATATTTTTTTCATACAATCATGATTTAATGACTGAATTTTTTATATTTTATTAAATATTTCATATATGAAAAAGTAAGTGGAGAAATTTTGTACAATCTTTTTGTGCTTCTGGGAAATTCACTCTCTTCTCAAGACAAATGCACGACAAAAAATTTCTTTCACTGTTTACACAATATTTTTATCTTTCTTTTATTTTATTATTTATCACATTATTTGTTTATAATATCTTTCACTTTCATTTTTATCTCTCTGAATTTTCTCTTTCTATTTCTACTTCCAAAAGATGTAGTGTACAACAAAGTTATCCACAGAGAGCTGTGAGTTTGCCACGAAAAATCACTGTGAATATGCTATGAACAATATGTGATTGCACATAATTAACCAAACAATAAAAGTAAAATAATAGCTCCATGAAAATCATAACATCCTGCTGTCCTTAAGGTTTTGTATTTTTTTTTCGTGAATAAATTTCGTATTATTTAGCATTCCTTTTACCCATAATAAAACCATCAAAATGAAAGTTCCTAGTTCTGACAAATATAAATAAAAAAATACCTCAGAGAAGAGCTTGTCATGCTACTCGCAATCACCTTTGGAAAAAAATCTAAATCCTATATCCTACGTCAAACATCTAAGTCCTTTCAACCAATGATAGTAAATTCTCATCACCATACTGATACCACTCTTTTCCTCCTTTGATGTGATAGGTGCTTCCATTTCTTGTTCTTGGTTTAAAAAAGTTGGTCGTGAGATTAAAAAAAAAAGCCTTTTATGTTGGCAACATGCCCATAACGAAGTTGTTGGTGGTATTGATCCGGAGATAATATAATTGTTAGTTGAGCATTCTCTAAAATATAATTACCTCTTTTTGTGCGCATTTTACTCTGAAATTTGAAAGGGTTTAATTTGCCCCTCAAGATTTTGAGACGTACCTCGTTAAATACCTTTTAACAATGACCTCCAATCACAACCATAGTTCTGAAATTTGCTTCTCCTTGACTCCCTCTGGTAATCCTCTACAACTGTGAATATTTTATCCTTCGACCCTCTCTCAATTCCATGCAAACATATAATTTGGCTATTTATACAGATTTTAGACATCGGTAATCACAAACAAATGTTAAAATTTGCTGTTGTATTTTTTGTGTGATCATATATACCATTGAATCATTAACTGGTTTTTTCAAACTTAATGAATGAAATGTCTGAGAATTTGTGAAAAAGGTTAAATCCAATGTTATCCATTATTATTAAATCAGTGAGTACATTTGTACCCAAAAAAATCCTTCCATACAAGCCACCTAAAACAAAAACAATTAGCCCTTAATGTTATCCTTTTTTTTTTGTCAAACATAATGCTATCCACTTAAATTCCTTGTTTTGCTTCGATTGTATGGATCTTAGAGAAAGACAGTTGTGAAGGAATTAGTTGGGCACATCATGAGTTAAAATGCGCAAGAATTAATTTTCCAAACACTAAAGTATATAATTTTTTCAGTTCTCATTGAATATATACTCCTTTTCTTCATATAAAAATGCTCACTATCCTATAACTAGTTTTCTCTCTAATTTAATTGTTTTAAAATTAAAAATAAAGAAAAAGCTATCAATTAAGAACTGTAATCGCAAGGAAGTAGATGTTTCAGAAGTATAAAAAATTTATTCAAAAAATAGATAAATTATAAATATAATCAATAAATTATATTAAAATAGTATAAAAATTATTATATTTTATTGAATATACGTTAATATTTTAATTTTTTAAATAATATGGAAAACAGAGCAGCAGGCTGATTCGCCGAAATTCTGTGGAGATAAGGACATTATTATTTGAGAAATGTAAACTCAGATGGCCTCATCTCATATGGGTACGCTCCATGAACTCAAACAGCAGATCGGGATCAGAGTCGTGCACCCTTTACAAAACATTGATATACATAAACACATCGACTTGTGAATTGAAACTGTAAAAAAAAAATATTAAAAAATTGAAAACAGCTTTTCCCTCATGCCTGCAAGTTTTGTTTGATCAAACTTACAGGAGTAAAGAGATACTGGGACAGACCTACTTTACAGCCATAAATCATAACGAAAATGTTCTTCTATAATAAAAATGGGATAATTTATGTTCTTATTTTATTATATTTTCAATATATGTAATATAAAAAGATAAAAAAAATGAGATATATATTTAAAAAAAGTATACATAATATTAAATACAATATCAATTATTTGATGTTCAAATCTTATGTTGTACAACTTCTAAAGATTTTACTTATCTCAATTCATTAACATTTTAGGAACTAAAGTATGATATAAAGTGCCTTATAGAATTATATGCCATTATAACTATTATAAAAATTTGAACTGTTTGATCTTATATGAATACACAGAAGAGGTAACAATACATACTTTATCATAGCAGTACTTGACGTCAAATTGGCAAGTGGGAGGCGAATGCATGAGGCCATCATGTAATAGCACAAAAGAAATGTGCATTGTAAATTGTAGGCAAAGTGCTCCACCAATACATACGGGCACAGCTTCCTATGTGTATCAGACAAGAATAAAATAGGAGTGGCACAAACAAAAATACAACTTGCCCAGAAAACTAATCTACTAATTTGGTTGGTGCATGCTTTCTGTGCAGATACACCACCTTTGTATTGCACGTGACATGGAAAGTGGCAGCAACACTGCAACTGCAAGGGATGCATTCGTTGCCTGCCAATTACAATAGTAAAACATATTACAGATGTAGTAATTGGATCCAATGGCAATTATCTTGCAGCTGAAAGATGTATAAATTTATTGGTTTTGAAGATTTAGATGACATGATTGGCTTCCATTTTTTTTTTTTAAGTTTTTCAAACTGGGAAGTTGCAAATAATTCTTTCCAGTGCAAACCGATCAAGTGGCTTCAAAGCGAAAATTCCTTGAAAAATGGGGTATATGTTATTATGTTTAGGTTACCATGTTTTTTAGATCATACATTTTTTACTTTATTATATTTTTTAATTTTCTTTTTCTTTTATTCCATTAAAGGTTTTTGAAAAAAAGCACCGTATGATTTCTCTTTAGATGACTTATTATTATTATTAACGGAGTCAAACTCATAATTTACATTACTAGAAGAATGCATTTCCATTTTATCCACTTGCATTTAGTTACCATGTTTTGCCTATTTTGTCTCTGATAGACTTTCATTAACACTCACATCAGACTCTGCTGCAGCTCTTAATCAACTAACAAATAATCTAAATGTCTGCCAAATATTGACTACCACTTGAGAGATCGATATGCCTGTCAACCCTACGTACCACAAATAACTACAAATTAGTAAACACCTTCCAAAGCAAAAATATATTAAAATGACCTATTATGCAGCCAACGTACTACGGGACTACTTAATTTTGGAAAAATATTTTTTTTGTTAAATTACCCATTTAGTTTTATTTTATACTTGGACTCATCTACAAAATAATTTGTATATTTTGAAAAAGTTACATTTTAATTTTTACTCGAGCATTTTGTGATGTTTTGATTTTTATTGTTTATATTTTTGTTTTTCACATTAACGATAATATAACAGTATGGACTAAAATGTAATAGTGCTCATACAAAGATTAAATTATAAATTCTCTAAAAATAATTCACATATGATAAAAAAAATTATTACAATTAAAAAAATATCAAAACACACTAATCTTTTTGAGTTGATATAATAAAAAATAAAAATTAGATATATCTAAAAATATAATTTTTTTATCTAATTAATAGAAAAAGTAAAAAAAAATTAATGAAATTTTAATTGCTTATAAAAAAATTATAAATTCATTCATATAATAAAATTGATCATTTAAAATTTTAAGTAACAGTATAAATTTTACATTTCAAATATAATAAATATTTTTTTCTTATATAAAAAAGTATTTTTTAAAGATATTATAAAAACTGATATATTATATAATAATATAAGCTTAATAAGATATTTAAGTTCAAATTATACAACTTTAAAATTATAATTAGTTAAAATACATATTTGATTTTTATATTAATATTAATTTATACAATTTGTTATAATTTAATCTCTTCCATCATTAACATTATTATAATGACAATGACTGAAAAGTAAACCACCAGAATCAAAATGTAACAAAATATTTGTATAAGAACTAAAAAACAACTTTTTAAAGTGCTAAATGTATAATTTAACTTATTTTTATTATAAAAATGTTGCATTAATTTTATTTTATTTCTAAATTTTAAAAAAATTATTTTTGTACAAATCTTTAAAGACAAAACACAGAATAAAAGCTAACAATTTTGAAATAAAAAGTAAAAAACAAACATTTTCTAAAACCAAACCCTTCAATTACCTTATGTGTATATATGCCAAATTTAAGGGATGGGCTAATTCAGAATATATACTACAACCGTCCTCTAGCATCATCCTACCCAAGTGAATCATCAGGGGGGAAAACTCAAAATGGATCGTTTTAATTGTACCTGTCAAATAATACCTCGTATTCATCACAAATATGGACAAAGTAGGACACTGGTTTTTATAATATACAGTTGTAAGAGCCCATCTGCTCATGTTACTCCTTGCACATGCACTTGATCAGTGTACCTTAACATACGAGGTACTGTTCCAGGATGCATTTACTTCTGAAGATGCTGATCCAAAGTATAAGCCCACATGGTAGTGCCTGCATTGCTACCTACATAATGGGCTCCCCGCTTCATTGAGGGAGAATCACTACTTTCAAAAACTATTTCATCAAGTCTAAGAAGACGAAGCCATTCCAAAGACTATGCAACAGCATTGATGGCAGTAAGTTCCTTGACCGTGTAAATATGATACCCATCACCATCCCAAGGAATATAAGGGGTAGCATCCTCTGTATATTAAAATGTGCAAGCGCAAAGGCAATTGAACTTACCAGTATTGCACACCACACTGGCATGTATTTGGTAAGGGAGGGCAGTAGGAAACCACGGAAAACTATCTCCTCCCACACAGGAGCACAGACTGATACTACTATTGCATATAATAACATTGCCACGGGATCCCTTGCCCTTATAGATTGTTCAACACTTGAAAGGGTGACAGGTGTAGAGGGCAAAAGGGGTAGTAGGTCCAGGTTGAACTGTGAGAGCCGATTGACAAGAGGAAACATGAGACATCCCATGATGACATCGAAGTGCCAATTCCCTTTCAGGCTAAACTTGAACCAGTCAGGGGGAAGGGGGCGAAATCGAGAAAGACAACGAAGAAGAATTGCAATTCCAGCAAGTCCTTCAGTTACATCAGTAATAAGGCTGAATAGTGCCTGTCCTCTAAATGTCAAAGATTCCTTGCTAAAGCCAGTTATATGGGCTGCAAAAGGAATCATCCAAGATCCTATAAACCAAAATGCTGTCGTCCAAAGAAGCATAACCTGTCATCATCCAAGGTTGCACAATTTAAAACCTCATGCTATCCATTTATAGTTTAGAATTTAACTCTACTCAATTGGGTCAACTAACATTCTGTCCCCATTCCTTTCATTTCCACTCCTATCACATGTACCATAAATTTTTAACTGTGAGGAATTGATAAATAGAACAGAAATTTTATTCAATCACATCTTGTTTGAAGTTTGGTAAACACTTACTTGTAATATAGTCATTGCAGTCCATGGCACAACCCATCGATTACCAAATACCTTGAAAGCTTCATTTGCAGCCTGAAAAAAAAAATAACATATTTAGGTAAACAGATTGATACAAGATAACATTTAAAATTCAAATTTTTATTTCATCACCAATATGTACAATACTCTGTTGACCATTGCAATGCAATGATGATGTTTCTAAATGCAAAGAAAATCTAAAGCTTTGTATATTTTAACTGAGCAACAAGATGACGCAGATGCACTGAAATCAAGAAAGCACAAGTTTATCAAATCATCTCAAAATATTTGCATAATCATTTATCAGCATTTATTTTACACTTTGAATACTAAAGATAATATAGGAATTTGCATATTCCCAAGTCTTTTTGATAACATACACCCAGTCCACCGGTTAGCATGATATTGTCCGCTTTGGGGGTTAACCCTCACGGTTTTGTTTCTCCTAGATATGACACACTAGGAAAAGGCCTCATGCTAGAAGGAAGGACGCCACAACTATTTAAAGACTGATAAGTCACTCCTCCCAACCGATGTGGGACTCATCATCCCCTCCCTCTTCAAGAGAGTCCGCCACGGACGCACTGATAAGGCACTTAAGCCGCCACGGATACGCCGATAAGGTCCACCGGCTCCGGCCCAGGCTCTGATACCAATTGATAACATACACCCAGTCCACCGGTTAGCATGATATTGTCCGCTTTGGGGGTTAACCCTCACGGTTTTGTTTCTCCTAGATATGACACACTAGGAAAAGGCCTCATGCTAGAAGGAAGGACGCCACAGCTATTTAAAGACTGATAAGTCACTCTCCCCAACCGATGTGGGACTCATCATCATTGATGAGAATCAAGGAAGGCCCATTGAAAACAAAGACTTGAAAGCATTGGAAGAGCTTCAAGGACCAATGACAAAGGCAAGGGCAAAAAGAATAAATGAAGACTTAGAAAAGATTGTTGCTGTCTTATTTGAAAGGGAGCTCAATTTAGAGTTAGAAAAGCCCAAGATAATCAATTACATATGCTTAGAGGATTTGAACTCTAACAAGTTTTATTAGGATTTAATTATTATATTTAGTTTATTTATTTTAATATTAGTCATTACTTATTTTGAGTTTTTATTTAGGATAAGATCTTGTTATTTTATTTAGTCTATTTGAATTTGGGCTTGTTGGTACAAGAAGCCCATTAGGGTTTGCATTAGTATTAGTTTACAGGCATTAGGCATATATAAGCTCTTGAAAACACACTTTTAATTAGTTTTGAATATAATTTGAGATTGAACACTCTTGTGAGAGCGTGTGACTCTAGGTTCTTGAGTGAGCCAATTTTCTTTGATCTTATCAAGAGGCCAAAACTCTTGTGGCGATCGTTCCTTGGCTTATCAATCTTGCGATTGTGGCGCCATTTTCCATCTCTATTCTATTTTTACTTTTTATTAATTTTCTTCTTATTTCAATTCTTATTTGTGCCGTAATAATTTCGTTTTTATTGTGTGAAATCCAATTCAAGATCGTTTAATTCGGCGACACAGTTTGTGGTTGTCATCACTTTTAGATTCAGGTTTGTTGTTAGCTGCTATTCATTTTGTTCCATTGTTCACCTTTCCTTAGGTGAGGTTTTCATGAACAATTGTAACTCTTTCTTTTAATAGAATGATCATTCTTATGTATTATAAACAAAAAATTACATTTTTTTATGTTGTGTGATGCAAACAAACACTAGTTGCAATGCCTAGGTTCTTTTCTGCTCATCTTCAGCCCTATCAGACATCATGACAGTCACCACATCAAAATACTAATTCATTTTTCCTTCAATTTCCCAAAAATCAAATTCAAAATCCAGGTAATGCAGGTATCATTCACAGCGCTCAAACAGTCACCAATCTGACCCTAAAACCACCACTCTTATTCTCTGGAAATTGCTCTTACGCTCACAAACAACAATCCATTTATAACCAACAGTTAATCCAACTAAGAAAACCTAATCCTAACCTATCAAGTCTGAAATCCCACTTCCATCCTACATTGCAAGAACAGAAAATAAAAGAAGAAATACATTAAATCTGAACAGTCAAACATTAGGAACGACAAAGGAATCCACATCTCTTTTCTTTAATCAATTTGCCAATGGACAAACAAAAGCAGATATTCACTCAATATATCGTCCATCACATAATTTGATAGCCAGCCACTTCCTCAGATTGACCACACCTGATTGACAAAGTCTGTTCACAGACTTTCTATAATGCAAATACCTAACAGAAAAATATTTCTTTTAATAGACAGGAAGTAAAATGTGGACTGGCCCTATTTTATTTCAGCTTTCAAAATCCTAAGGTGAGATTGAGGATCAAAAGATGAATGACACCAGAATGAAATGCATTAGATATCATTAAATTACTAAAACAATTCATTTTATCAACTTATCATCACTGTTGAATATGTTAAATCTTGTTGAATGTCTTTAGCTTCCTAGAGATAGATACTTACTGCATATAATTATTTGCTTTTTGATTCAGTGTAGTTATAATCCCTGTAATCAGGGGATATGGTTGTAGTGCGTTTGTTCATGTATATAAATATTTCTTGGGATGCATTAGACCACCAAAGGGATATTGCTATTCCTTAAACTTGACCGTTGTCTTGTCTCTGCAGATGTTACTTTCCTAGTAAATTCTCTCTATTTCTTTGCAGCCGATTCACCTAAGTCTTACCTGTCCCTTAGCTTTGGCACTATTTCAACTACCAGTCATATTCTTATAGATAAGTCCTTTCAAGTCTATCACCACCAACATCACAGGATATTTGACACAAATACAATCCGGCTGATTCACAATCAACACCACTGAATGCCTCCTCATTAGATCTAATTCTAGAGATTAACATATCTCCTCATATAGCTATCTATAAAGGTACTAGTTCCTCTCATAATCCAAATTGTATTTATAATTTTTGGACTTATTACACTTGTCTCCTCCTTGTTGCACCTTTACTCTTGTTTGTCCTATGTTCATCCCAAAAACAATAACAGAAGCTTTCTCTCATCCAAAATAGTGCCAAGGCATGATAAAAGAGATGTCCGCATCACATGCTAATGGTACTCATGAAGTAGTTTCCTTGCCCACTGGAAAATCTACTGTCAGCCATTAATGGGTTTACACCGTTGAAGCAAGTTTGTTGCTCAAGGGGAATCTCACTTGGTATGTCATTTGCAGGGATCTTTATATGGCTTGAAGCAATCTCTTAGCACTTAGTTTGGTACATTCATATTCAATGCTGTTATATTTGATTTTAGTATGGTTTGCTTTGAGGTTGACCACTTCATTTTTTTCAACATTCCTCCTTAGATGCAGATTGGGCCAGTTCTACGTTTGATAGACACTCAACATTGAGTTATTGAGTTCTTTTTGCTGGAAGCCTAATAATATCCTGTAAGAGAAAGAACTAAGAAGCAAAATTCTGTGGCAAGGTCTAGGGCAGAAGTTAAGAATCAAGTTATGACATTGACAAGATGTGAACATACATGGCTAAAACAATTAATCTAGGAAATTAAGTTGTTTGAACTTTGAACCAAACAAAATGGTGCAACCTGATTTTTCAGGAAAAGGACCAAACAGATAGAAATCGATTGTCATTTCAAGAGTGAGAAGATACAAAGTGGAGAAATAGTGACTGCCTTAGACAACTCAAATGATCACCTTGTGAACATTTTCATCAAATCTCTTAAGGAGGCCTCGAGTATAGTTTATAAATGACAACTAACAAGATTGATGCATATGATTTATATATTCAAGCTTGAGGGGTAATGTTGAATATTGTTGAAATGAATTTAATATCACTAGCTTCCAAAAGTTGGACGTTTACTATATGTAGATTATTGCCTTTTGATTAGTTGTAATTGTAACCCTTAGAATCAAGGGATACAATTGCATTTGTTCACATATATAAGTATATATATACTGATAGTTGTTTCTAAAGATTTAACATTTTCTCTATCATTTTCAAGTATCACATCTACAATGGAGTAAGGATAACCAGCATATTCACATATTTTAAGCACAACTAATTTGTAGTTTGCAGCCCATAACAGTTAGAACTTTGCTAAGCAAATGCAAACTACACTCTGAAACTAGGCCTACGGAAGAGAATATTAAGAAATTAGCTTTACTCCAGACAATACCAAATAATTACAGAGCTCAAAATTTTAGAACATGTATGAGTATTTCTTGCATCAAACCATCCTAAGAATTCACTACTCAACAGTGAAGAAACCAAATCCAAGATATACCACCATAAATAATTTAGTGTAAGTGAATTTTACTTTACATGTCATCACTTTGAAACTCGAAGGCGGGAATCGTATGCAGATTTTAAATTTGTTCAATAGCACACACATTCATAGATAGGAACACCTATCTTAAAATTGCCACATGTGATTCATCAACATAGAAACGGAAAACCATTTGTTATAAAAGTAAATAGTAGACGTGTGACCTTGTGAAGGATTGATTTCCAATCTCTTTTGGTGACACCGGACTCACTGAACTCAGATTGCACCAATTCCTCATGAAGATAGTGGTTTATGACTTCAGGTTTTGGTGTTTCTGGAGAATGATGCTCGTGCCTAAAGCACAGAATACTCAATCTCTGCAAGGAAAACCATAAAATTAAAACTGTAGAGCAAAAATGCTGCAGCCAATCACTTCAGGAATATATACACCACACACATGCATGTAACATAAAGTAATAAAAAGCCTTTAAAGCCATTTACTTTGCTTAAAAAATTTAAACCCTCCACAAAACAATGAATAACAGATTCTCAGGTTCATTTGAAATAAAGGTATGAACTTTTTCAAAACTTTTCTTTCTTTGAACAATTGAAAAATAAATAATAAAATATAGCAATTCTTAACAAAGATTTCCAATGGCAAATAACACAAACGACAGAAAGGAAAGAAAGAAGGTTTTGAATTAGTATCAGATAATGCTTACGTTCTTGGGAGACTTGGCATGAGATTCCAAGATCCGAGGAAAAGGACGAAGAGTGGCGGGTCGGGGAAAACCCCTAATTGGAAGGAAGGAGCGGGTGAAGACAGAGTAAGAAGAAGAAGAGGAAGAGGTACTCAACATTTATAAACTAAAAGGGCTATTAACCTAATCACCACCTTGCAAATTACTAGTTTTTACATCAACAGAAAAGTTTAATATTTGGGAGGTTAGGGTAGCTGTGTGAATGTGAATTGAAGCTTCTCTTCCCACTTCTAGTTCGTTCCATCGACAGAGAGAGAGAGAGAGGCAAAGTTTCAATTGTATATGTAAATCCCTATCCCTAAATTACGATTTGAAGCGTTGTCGTTGTGATATTCAATTGTGACCCAGGAAACTTGGGAGGTTTTTGGACAAATTGCTCACCACATTTGATGTAGCATCTGGCAACAATGCCCAATTGCAATTAAATGCTAACAAAGTGTACCAAGGCATCAAGCTCACGGGTAGGTTTGTGAATGTGATTCTACTACCGCAAACGTATTTATGCACTAAACTAGTACAGTTTCTTGCATTGCGGGAATTTTTTTTAATATTTAGGTGAAATTAAAAACTATAAATTTAAAAAATCGAAAGGAGTAATAGAAGTAATAAAATATAAGTAATTCTATTCAGATTAATAATAACTATATTGAAAATATCTTATTTATTGAAATAAATTAAATATACATATGAATAATATTTTTAAAAAATCAAGTTATCTCTTTTTTATTTTAATTTGAAATTTTCAGTTAATTGTTTTAGAAAGTTCATAAAGTCTTGTATATTTAAAATATTTTTATCATAGAGTGTATAAAAGTATCATTAATTTAAAAAATATTTGTTGGTATTAAGTCAGTAGTTAGCCAAAGATTTGAAAAATGACGTAGAATATGATTTTCTGTCCAAATTCTGAGTTTATTATAATTTTGAGAATTTTTTAGGTTCTATGGTGTGATTCATTTTAAAATTTTAGGTTTTTTTTATAAAAATTTGTCAATCTAAAAGAAGTATTTCTATGAATATTTAATCTTGATGTGAATAACCTGCCTTTGAATAGTTTCAAGAGATAAAATAATTTAAGATAGGCTTAAGGGAATTTTAATCAAAATAATATAAATTAAATAAATTATCAAATGGAAATAATATAATTTTAAAATTATTTACCAGAAAATTATACTATTTAACAACTTTTATTTTTTTAAAGTTTCTAATCTAATGTCTGCGGCATAGCAGTTACGCCAATATATTATAACATAGCAAGGTCTTAACATTGACGAACTCTCAAGTATTAGAATTTACGATCTAATGACAACGTGCTATTAAATAAGGAGTCAGTGTCGGTGCGTGGCACATTTTGAACATGCTCAACAAAGTGTGTTCTCATCCCACTTCGAGTTATTATGCATTTTGGACTGACTGTGTAGAGCACAGTACAAATGCATTACACCACATTGTGCCACGTAATATCTTACTAACGGCATGACCCATTTGGCCACATAGTTTGTGCCTCCTCGCTGCATCGCTAGTATTCGTACATTTTGCACCATTTAAATATTTTTTTTTTTAAATACTCTAAAGCTATTTAACAATTTTTAAATAAAAATAGTAAAATAAAATAAATCAATTAAGGAAAATATATAATATAGTTTTTTTTAAAATAATTTGTTTATAGCTTTGGCATTTGGGCTTCCTGTGCACAAAAAAGAATAACTTGTTTATATTATTTCAATTATTTATTATCACTCTTCTTATATTAATTGACAGAAAAATTAAACTTATTGAATAAAAAGTAACATAAATTTTATGTATACTCTTTCATTAACAAATATTGCCTCACCTGGTTGACCTTGCACTATTATTTGGTTGGTACACAATTTTTAATTTTTTAAATAGGAAAGACTTTCTTTACCATAAACTTCTATTTAAAAAAAAACAAAAACAAAAACTATGACTTTATTTAGGAACAAAATTTTATTATTGTCATTTATATATCTTGTGTAAAGTTGTCAATTTTTTAATATTAAAATAAATAAATAATATTAAAAATGCTAACATTATACTTTTTATTATTAATTAAAATTTATTAAAAATTAAAAAATATAAAAAACAAACATTAATTTAATAATAAAAAAGGTGCAATACATATTTTTATAATTTTGAATAAATTTTACTACCAATAGAATGTGGGTTACAAAGAATGTTATAAAATGTATTGCTAACATTATTCGTAGAATTATATTGTGAACAACCAGTTAATTACTTTTAATTTTAATTTTAGAAATAAAATGTTCATTCATGAAAATATTCACGAAAATATTCACTAATGAAAATTCTCCTCTGAATACTCGTTTTGAGATAAAATTGATGACCTCAGCAGGTTTTGACAATAATTACCAAGACGAAATATAACATTTGGCTAGTTTTAAGCAGAGAACAATGCCATAAAGTACTTGTACTATTGTATGAGTTCTCTCCACGATAGCTGGTTCAGAGCTCAGAATCGAGAGGAAATGATAAAAATACTGGGGTAGTTGAAGTAAAGCAAGCAAAGCAAACTAGAAAGATAAATTTCACAGTAGCCAAAATTAATTAATAAATTTTCGAACCAAAATTCAAATCCAAAGTACAAAAATATGGCTCCTTTCAAAATACAGATAATTTCCTTGGGGAAGATTGCAACAACGACAAAAAAGATATTTCAGTAAGTACAAAGGCAGCAATAGATGCTACATGCAGAGTATTTAACAGAACAGGCGAAGCCGTTGAGACAGACGTGATTCCCTAGTGTGGGAAGCTCAAACTCAATAAAAGGGTAGGGGAACCCCAACAAAACTCCTTAAACAATTTAGTAATTTACATACCTTGCCAGCACCATCACTAAATCAAAACATCTTGGCAATTAGTTGCAGTTCTTTCTTCAAACATGCCAAGAGGAGATTCTCGAGTGACATCCATCTATAAGATGAATCTGCTGAAGTAGCATAATCTTGCCAGTCGCGGAAGCCCAAGGGGGTCTCTATTCTGGCTTGCATATATTACATCCCCAGTCAAAATGGAGTCACCGACTTAATGCTAAACATGGTAATTCATTCCTACCTTAATCAGACAAATCTGAGGAATGTTTAGTCCTACAGCAGGGGACCGACAATTTTTTCGGAGAAAAGAGTAGAGATTGACAGCAAACCTCTTTGCAAATGACGAGTTCCACTTGGCCTTCACATGGGAATGACCTATTACATATGCTGCTCCAGCACGCTTGGCTTCTACTAGTTCCATGAGCTCTTCCTTGACACGGGGATCTTTATATATTATATTGAGCAACTCAAATCGAATCCGCCGTCTAGAGTTGAGTTCAGGGGACTCCTGCTCATACATGGCCTGCAGCTTCTTCAATGTAGGAGATTTACTGCTAGTAACAGTCAAAGCTCCAGGAAGATTAACACTGCTGCTTTCTTCAACACCAGCTGATTCTGACATTAGCAACCTTGTCCCAAACTTCCCGGATGTCCTAACCACTGCCATCCGACCATCCACTGAACCATCTACATTTCCAGAACAACCCTCTGCCTCCAGTTGAATGAATTCTGCTATGCTCATCACCAGGTCATTTTCAAAATCATTTTCATGGCTATACACATCTTTATAGCCATTTCGAACAATGCACCGGTACAATCGGTAAGATTTGGGCCCAATTCTGCCAATGAGGTAACGTTCCTCATGGGGAACACAAGGCACAGGTACAGTCTTAACACAAACAAAAACAACCACTTGGTAGAAAGCTGGCAGATTTGTCAAGAAATGAGTAAAACTGGCAGGAACTCCAGTAGCCAATTCAGTGTAGATAAGCCCCATTCCTGGAACCCTAACAATCCCAAGACTAGGACCCAATGTAAGGATCCACCTCATTGAAACTTTGTTATGCATGTCAAATAAATACTTTTTCCTAGAACCATAATGCCACACATACATAACAACCATGAAAACTGCAGAAAGCAAGAGTGGAACCCAGCCACCTTTAGGGATTTTCATGCAATACGATGAAAGGAAGAGAAGCTCTATCAAACCAAAGAATAAAGCAAATGCCAGAGCAACTACAAGACTTTGATGCCATACAAGGTTGATAGCTAGTGATGTCAACAATGTGATCACAAACACCACAATCAGATATGCAATCCCTGCAATCAAAATGAAGATGTTAACAATCATCAGCTAAAAAACGGTAGTGAATGATAAAATGACCCAGAACATCGGCATATTTTCTACCACAATCACTGAACCATCTATAACACATAATTAACCATTTAAAATAAGTTTTACTTTTTATTCAGTGTTAGGTAACTTTTACCCTAGCATCCAATATTGTGACACCAGATCATTGAAACTCTTAGGCTGCTAATATCACAGCCAACTCTTTTAATAAAGCAGTAACACTTGATTGGATAATAATTTAAAAAGCTCTTATGCAGGTAGTGGACCAAAGTTATCCTAATTTTCACTTCTAGTAAAGGTTTTACCCGTTTTCAAATATATGGCTGGGTTCCACTCATGCTTAATTTTAATTTACTTAATTTTCTTACACTTGCAATTAAAGATATTTCATAAAAAGCATCTATATAACCACGATTATATGACCAATCATATATGACATTTACTATATTGTTGGCAACAATTTGTTTAGGAACACTTTTTTCAAATAAATTGAATAAATTCAAATTTAGTAAATCTGAAAAAACAAGTTTATAAATAAAAAGATGCTATAAATATTCCGAAAAGTTCTGAAAAACATTAGAATCACAAAAAAAAGTGCGTTTGTCAAAAATTCATACTAATCCAGAAATTTTTTTGAATATTGATGTAAAAGGTCTATAAATGGAATTAATAATTTTGATAAAATATCCCAATATATTCCTTTTGGCTGAAAGAAATTCTTAAGGCCCCAACAGTTTACAATTTACGCTGTCAACGAATCATAATTGAATCATGTTTCAATATCAAATAATGCATAAGAGAATGTAATTCTGTCTTAAAATTTTATGTAATATAGAAATAAACAATATACAGTTAAAAAAATATATGGAGACCCATGAACCATTAATTAGAGATTTTAAGCAACAATGGTTTTACACAACTTACCATAAGCATATCCTGTATGGTTCATGTCTCCTAAACCAACTGTAACAGCCAGGCTGATTATCATAAGAATCCAGTTTATCTCTGGTATATATGTCTGCCCGCGGATCCACCTTCTGGAATGTACTGCCTTAACACGAGGGAAACATTCAAATGCATGGCATTGTTGGACAATTGAGAATGTTGTAGAGATGACAGCCTGACTTGCAACTATTACTGTCAAAGCAGCCACCACAAATACTGGCCAAAATAGAAAATCTACAAAATGACAAAATTTCTGAAATAAATTATTGAGACTCAAAAATGAGTGCTGCAATCTCATCAAAAACATGTGGCAGGACATTTTTACTAGCTTGTCAATCTTGCATCATTTACTAATAAAATAAGTTTCTTGCATACTAGTGACCCAAATTCTAACTGGTAATCCATTGAAGGCATCAGCAAGAAAAGTTAAGAAAATCAAATACAGGGGATTCTCTGAGTGGTTATTTTTATGGGGAAAAAAGGGTTAGAAAGAGTACAGGAAGGATTATGGGTACAATAACAATGGCAACTAAAATTTATGTCCTAACTAGTGTTAAGATGAACCCATTGGCTTTCTTTGATACATTGAAAATTAGGACTAATGATCAGCTCTACCTTTTTGTTCACCAACAACTGACATTAATTAAGAATCAGTACAATACAAGAAGTTCAATTAAATATAATAATCCCCCCCCCAAATTCATCACAAAATACATTTCATCATGAACTTACATCCTATATAATAGAAGTGATAGTACTTAGATTGTTGCAATAAGCTGGCATCCTTTCCAAAGATCAATTACATTCAGTTAGAAAAGAACACTGACTATACTTACTAGATTTTACAAAAATTTGTCACACAAACAGTCTAATTTATAGATCACTACAACAATATAGAACCTTAAACAAAAAATGATAGATATCACTTTTTGAAACAGGAATCATTGTTAAAGCATCATTTATGTCACTATTTTTATGCAAAAGATTTTGGCAGACTTTGATAATTCTTGAGAATAGAGGTGGCATGATCTAAGAATAACATTGTTAGTTTTCAAAGGAAGTACACATTGAATATTTTAGAGGAAGCGAGATTGATGGATGTCAAGCTTATAGATACTTCCTATTGATCCTAATGTCAAACTTCTGCCAAGTTAAGAGGAGTCTTTTTCCAATTCAGAGTAGTATAAGAGGCTTGTTGGGAAGCTAAACTATCTCACTATAACTCGTCCATATATCTATTTTGCATTTTAAAATACATCAAAGCTATAAGGACTCTTGTATAAAAATAAGGGTTACACTCATATTATGAGTTACTCTTATGCAGATTGAGCAAGCACCCCTCCCAATAGGAGATCCACTTTTGGTTTTGCATTTTTATTGGTGTTAATTTTATTTTTTTTAAAAATAGTAAACAAAGTGTAGTTACTTGTTCAAGTGTAAAAGCAGAATATTAAGTCACAGCCTTTAGCTACATATAAACTTATTTAGTTGAAATAACCATAGTTGTCAATAGCACGTGATAGCAATGGTGGATGGCATCTCTATCTCCTTCTCTGTTCGACACTCCCTCCTTCCATCTCTATCTCTGTTCTGCTTTGCAACAAACTCTAATCCGGCAAAGTCACTCATCTTGGATGACTTCTCTATCAAAAGCCACTTCCTTTCTTCTCCACTTCCTTTCTTCTCTCTATTCTATGATTCTATAGTCGCGCGCTTGCCTCTATTATGTTATGCTATTTTTGCATATTTGTTTAGCATTATATACATGATTATCTGCATATGTATCTATTTTATATCCATATATAAAACTTTAAAATAGCGGTAATCCTACTATGCGCTATCACGCAATAGCATTTTGAGGGTCATCCGCTACATGCCACTATCTGAGATGAACAACTATGGAAATAACTATTCAAAAAAATGAGATTTGAATATTATGAAAAGGACATTCATTTATAATACTCAGGCAGCCCTATATATTGCCTCAAATCCAATGCACCATAAAAGAATTAAGTATATTGAGATAAATTGTCACTTCATTAGGGAGAAAAATTTATCCAAAGATATCACTACTAACTTTATTAATTCAAATGATCAACTGGCAAATTTCTTCACTAAAGCATTGAGAGGTCCTCATATCATATTAGTCATATATATGTGACAAACTTTATACATATGACCTATATGTTCCAACTAAAAAAGAAAGTGTTAAATATATGTAATTATAGTAATAAGACAAGTTTATATGTGTAACTATGTTAATTCGTTAATTGAATATTTTGTAATTATTGCTATTATCAATACAAATATATGCTTCGTTGTGTAATAGAAACACACAAATTCATTAACATGTTCTCTCACTTTCTCTCTTTTAACAATCATAATACAATTATAATAATTAATAGAAATAGAACATGTAAGAGAAACTAACTTAACTTTCAAAAACATAAGAAAAGGTGGTTTGGGTTCTAATTGGCTGAGCATTGCTAGAACTTGTACCCAATACTTGTTATCGTTGGCATCAGATCATAATTATCAAATTGGGAAATAGGAAATAAAAAGATAATATTTCAAAGAACCCCAAATTATCACAAGTTCAATATATCACTACTCAGAAAGTCCAGAGACAATTTAAATAATTAAATTTGCCAAGCCACACGTAGAAGATTCAAAATAGCCTTCACTGCACATTTTTTATCTTCTGAATGCAAATAATTTTGTTCAATGTTTTTTTAGAGTTTTACAATAAGATCTATCAGACATTTTTTTATTCTTAGCGTTTACATTAGCTGACCTGGAATAGAAGCATAAAAGCTTATGGGCACTGCAGATAAATTCTTTGAAAGAAAAGCAGCCTGCCCCATGTATTGAAGAACTAGACATGGGTATATGATACAATAAAATGCAACCTGCACGGTAACAAGGATACAATAATAACAGTTACAACAATCACTTTTAAAAAAAACAAAAGCTATTTAAAAGTTGTAGCAAACTGTTTAAAATGAGGAATCACCATTAGGGCCTCAATTGGTTATGCCAAGGATCATGGATGAAGGCAAATTAAGTGTCGTACATTACCAAACTGATAGATCAACTCATAGTTTGATTTCATATATTCCACTTTAGCCAGAGAGTTCTTGATAACAAATCAAGAATCACTTTCTAAGTATCATTGACCTACAGTCTAATAGACCCCTTCCTTCTCTGCTAGTAGTGCCTGTGCATCATTATATACACTAAAACAAAGGTTTGACTTTCATGGTACTAATATATTAGTGTAATACAAATTAATATGTATCATTCCTTCTTTGTGGTAATTTGCGATCTGAAGTTCAGTTCTTTCATAGCATAATATCATCAACTGTCTCACATAATAGGCACGTCTAATATGTCAAAGTATGAAATGTATATTCGAACTAGGTATCCATACTAATTGAAGGAAACCATCATCACCCTAACACAATGCAGTAAAATAATGCTAATCATTCTTGCTTATCTATTTTAAGGTACTCATTCATGAACAGAACATTGTCAGTTAACCATGAAGTCAAAAGCCTACTTAATACTAGTTGGTTGCACATACCCTTACAGGTGGTTGTCCATAATATCCAAGGTCTGCAAACATAGCTTCAGTTCCTGAAGATAACAATGTGGAAATAATAATCATTAAAGCACTTGGGAAATAGTATGTTCATGTTTCTCATGTTAAAATGCATTTAGTGCTTAAGGATATTTGTGTCTAGGAAGCTGCACTCAATTAATAGTAGACTATTAAATATTTAAATGATCTCCACTAAGTTTATTAAGAACCTATATATGTGGACAACATGCAGAACCTATCCTATTAACTACATTAAACAAGGAATAGAAGGGACTTTTTATTCTCTATATTCTCTCCAAAAGATTTTGCTCTCTCTTTCTCTAAATCTCCCCTCCATAAATTCAACAAGAAAACCAGAATGAATTTGGAATTGGAAAGAATAAGGCTTAAGCAGAACTTCAATTTTAAAAGAGACACAGACCTGTAACACACAGAAATACTCCTCCAAGATTAGCCCAACCATCTCTTCCTGTAACCGAAAAGAACTTGTATATATAATATGGAGAAAGAGCCTGATATATTCTTGGATTCCACTTGATGACATTGTAAATGCCAATCAAGAACATAGACAGTAACCATATGATGATTATGGGAGGAAACATGAAGGCAACCTTGTGGGAGCCACGGTGTTGCAGAACAAAGAGTCCAATCAGTAGAACACAAGAAATTAGAGACACCATACCTGTGAAATAATATACAAAACGATATATGTGTAAGTTTTGATAGCAAAACAACCTAAAATGAATAATACTTTACAATTACATTTTTTGGAGTTAACTTCCATTATTTTACAGTGTGAGTTACCTTCTTTCCTTTCCCTATAGTATGCATTAATTAATTAATTCATTGCATTTCGATCATTTAAGCACTGAGTGTTAGATACATTTTGGTGGAAGATTGCCATTTTTTCCACTTACTGTTGTTAGTAATCTTTGCTTCAATTCTCAGCCCTTCAATGGATGAAAGAACTGCAAGATAGAATCTTGTCAGCAGAGATACAAATAGAGTTAAAACAATGGTAAACAGAAGTACATAGTAAAACATCAATCAGACAAGCCATTCTACCAGACACACTTAAAATAATTGTAAGGAGAAAAAAAGACCTCTAACCTGAAATAGCAGGCATGAGTGCACCAACACAAATTACCATGCAAGCACCCAGTAAAACTAAAATAAGCAAAGCAGTTTTTGTACTCTTATGTTTCTCAATGAATTTTTTCAAAGATGAGGGTGGTAAATTTCTATTCAAGCAACCAGGTTCGTGATATGTAGAAAGCTCCTCATCAGAGACTTGATGATTAGGAAGCAAACAAAATTTTGCATTTCTGCAAAGGTGTGAATACAATGCTACGATTCCCCCTGCAAAAGTTGAATGTTTTAGCACCACCACACTCAATACTAAAAGAAAGACGGAAGGATAAAAAAACTCACAGAATAATAAACAAAAATAGTCCTTACCTTCACCATTATCATCTGCACTTAATATGAGAACGGCATACTTCAAGAAAGAAATAAGAGAAAAGGTCCAAAAGATCAAAGAAAAAGCGCCAAATATTGCATCCTCATTTTGAACATGTTTCAGTCTTCCAGAAAATATACTTTGATAGACATAAAGAGGGGAGAGGCTCAAGTCACCAAACAGAAAGCCTAAACTCTGGTATGCCAAAAACAAAACTGCTTTACATTGAAATTTCCTTTCCACCTGTTAATAGAGATAAATCAGATGTTATACACGTCCATAAGGTCTTTATTCTTTAAGTTCGATAAAAACAAACTTCAGATTAAAAAGAAAGCCAGATAAACAAATAATGGAAAACCATGAACAATAGAATAGAATAGAGTTATTCAATGCTTCTTTTTCCAACTGTTTTTTCAGTGCACAGGCATACAACTTTTATATGTTGCTCATTTTTCATTTGATAAAAGACAAAACAGGTGTAGACGACCACAGTTACCATGGTATAAAAAGCTTGAGGTTTATGCTCAGCATTAGGAACAGTTTCGGCTTAATTTTTAAACTTGCTACCAACATAGAATATGATCACTACACAACAACTCGCATTTCCTGGTTTACGATGAAAATAAATACTATGATGCCTGTGATCGTCTCCATGCTTTGCAAACTTCCAAGTTGCACGGCAAAACCCTATCTCGTTTCTAGGTCAGTGATCCAAGTTTACATTGAGGATCGTGTTTGAAAAGACGGATCTCATTTTCCTGTCGCACATTTTCTTTTCACGATAAACTTTGACAAAAATGGTGCATGTTCAATAATTACTATATGAGACATTCATTCGTTAGGTTCGGATCGAAGTTACTGAAATCGAATCTGAAAATGCCAAAAACAAGTGCAGAAAGCTCCGAAGGCATTACAAAACATTTATATTCAACTTTGCGATTAAGCTAGGGTTTGAATTATGGCAAGGAAGAGGTGGCGATGGAGAATAGAGTAAAACGTACCAAATTTGATGCACTTCGTTCTCTACCCGTGTCTGAGCTCATAGCGAAGCCAGAATAGAACAGAGCAAAAGATTTTGGTTTAGAGAGAGAAAGAGAGAGAGCGTTGAATCAGTTTCACCTCGTTGCGCTCGTTTTTGGAAAGGAAAAATCGATTCCAACAGTATAGTGGGACCGCAAAATTGCCTCTACTGGATTGATGGGGAACGTGTTTGGTTATTTTCACCATAAACTCAGTTTTCGCACTGCAAAGTGGCGTTGGATAAATGCTCTTGCAAAATTTAATAATCGATATTTAGTGTGTCATTAGTTTGAAATTGAGTAAATTTAATTTTAAATTGTTGAATTTTTTTATGAGTGTGCATAAATTAATTGAAATAAGGTATTTTTATTCAAACATGTGCTTTGTATTAAAAAAAATGTGAAGATTAATCTTTTATCTATAAAATAAATCATCCCTTAATAACGTTTCATAACTGCCTTTTCATGTCTAAAATATGTTTTAAAGAGATTATTACGGGAAAGATTGGATAATTTTCTTAACAAAACAACATTATCGCCATTACAAATAGTATTTAAGGGTTGATCCGAATCTTGCGGGTCTTTACTGATTTTGCATGTTTATGATTTTGTATTGATGTTCATATTATAATTCTGTTAAGTTTTTGCGGAATTCTTCATTTTTTATGACATGAAGACAGAATTGGTTGGCTTTGCTTTCTTTTTGGTACAAAAAATAACGTCAATTAATAACATTTCGTATTTTAATGACATTAACTAATAGTAGGCCTAACTGAATGAAGATGCATTGTGACACTGTTGTCGCTGAATATGCAAAACCCTTTCCCATGGTCGCAGTGGATGACAGCTTGGCGTGCCTTTCCACGGTTGCTAAAACGACAAAGTACGTTTATATTGAAAATGCTCGCACGTAATGGGCGTAAATTTTTAGTGATTTTTTTTTTTTATAAAACTAAAATATATATATATAGGATAAAATAAATGATGCAACGTAAATATTAAAAAATTATAATCATATTGTATGAATATTATGTCTTATCAAGTAAAATGAAATTTACGTTTATCTTAAGTAGAGTTATTTTCAATTAAATGTAATTAATGTTTAAATAAAAGGATATTTAATTAGGAGATAAAAAAAAATTATTGTTCGTCTTAGATTTACTTGAATGTAAATTTTTATTTGATTTTGTCTTTTATGAATTAAACTCAATTAGCTATTCATATCTTTCTTTTTTAGAGAACAAAACTTGTTAAATAAAACATAAAATAAATAAAATTTATTATTTAAAGCAATGAATGTTTCATCATAAATTATACAATGGTCCAAATTATAAAATAGTGATGAAAATAATCTTAAATTTTCTAAAAATATGAATACGTGTTTGTACATAAAATAAACATGTATTACCCTCATACTCCCATAAAGTTTAATAAAATTTCACTTAATACTATTTTCTTTATTTATACCACCCCTAACATCCTTTATTTTATATAATAAAATAATAGTATTATGTATCATTTAAATTAATATAAAATTTCTTTAATTTATATATATATATATATATATATATATATATAACATATTTTTGTAATTTTTTAAATGTTAAAGGTTATAAGTGTATTTTAGCACAAGTTCAATGACACGTGCAATAAATTGTTATGATTACAAACTTAATCCTGTCTCTTCTTGGCTTCTTGCCTTAAATTTTGCTTCTTTTATCTATTTTTTTTTTCATTAAAAGTTATTCTTCGATGTAAAATATAAAAGTTATACCGTATCAGAGAACAATAAATTAAACTTATCATTTTTTTTGTTTAAATTTATAATTCAAGTCAAATTAGATCGGTCTATAAGCACTCTTAATGTAAAATGGAATGGTTTTTATTTGTAATTTTGATTTAACTAGACATTAATTGTTTGAAAATACATCATTAGAAAGTAAAGTTTTTAAATTTTGTTGAAAAAGATCCATGATAGAATATAATATAAAACTGTTATTATTGTATAAAAATATGTATATTGGCTTTTAGTCATACGTGTGTGTGTAAAATCAACGAATTACAAAAGAACACGGCAAGAAGAATAAGGCTTTCCATGGCCACCCAAACATGGATACCGATAATTGTCTAGTGAGATTTGAGATCAAGCAAAAAGAAAGAGAATTATTGCTTGTGCCAAGTTTTGGAAAAGACAAAAATGGCGGGGCCGTAATGTGACCTTTGAGTTAAGCGAAAAAGGAAGACTGTGAAATTTTTTTGAAATTGAATTAGGATAAGATGTTAAACTTGCATTTTTTATATTATTTAATAATTTTTTTAAATGTAAAACTAATTAATTTAATTACTGATTAAAAAATTATTAAATAGATTAATTTTATAAAATTTCATTAAAAATTATTAAATACTTCATCTTAATATTTTATTTTAATGAATATATTTTAAAAATATAAATAAACATTTTAAATAATATACTTACAATGTTTTTCTGAATGATTTGAAAACCGGTGGCTCAAGAGTTGAGAGAATTGGGCTCCGATCAGAGTTTCAAACCTTACTCTCTGCGGTGCATTATACTTAATTACAATGTTTAAATTATATAAAATTATAAAAAGATAAATGTTACGGTACTCTCTAAAATGAAAGACTATTAAAGTTAATAATTTATTTAAAAAAACATAAATATTTTTAATTTTAAAGATATTAAAAAAATCATACCCTTTAATATAGAAAGAGTATACAATGTCCCCATAATTTCAGGAGTATCATGGTAAGCACCTGATAAAAATATTCATATAAAATAATTAATGATTAAATTGAATAATCTTACCTCTATAATAAATTATTAAATAATATAAGTGTTTAAGTTTAAGTTTAAGACATATTATTGATGGATCTTGACTTTTAAAATATAATATTATAAAAAAATTAAAATTACTGAAATTCATTATTAGAAATATCTACATATTCATCAATCAACAAACTAAAGAAAGATAAAAATGAAACTTGCTTGACCAAATTATTGTATATATAAATTTTTAATGTATATTAGACAACTTAACTATTTTATGAATGTCTCTGCAATTAATTAACCATTCACCATAGATCAATTCCATAATATCTTGACTTTGGTCATAATTATTTTGTTATTTTGAAAACATCTTGTCTTTTCAAAGACGTACGTTGAACAATTCATCAGGATTGAACAAGATCGCAAATAATGCAAAAAACTCAACCACATCTGCAGATTAAAGTATATAGAAGAAAAATAATACTTATTATTTCATAAAATAAAAATATATTATTTTAAAAAAAATTAAAAGAAATAAATGAAAATAATTTCTAAAGAATAAAAAATATAAATTAATTTTTTTTTTCTTACAAAAACTTATTCATAAACTTACCTGAACTGAGCATTGTCTCATATCATTTGATTACGGTTCCCTGTGACGGAGTGGCAATTAGGACCATCATTGCACAATCATGTCATGATTGATATATTGGTGAATCAAAGAACAATCAATTTAATTATAAAGTTAACAATGAGCCGAATAAAGTCTCACTTGTTATTTTACCTCGTTAGGGAGAAAGGGGTGGATCAGTTTTAAATTAAATTTGTACACATTCATGTCTACTCAAGCAGTATAAATGTCACGTTAAGTGCCCAATCTCTCAAGCAAATTAGCAGGCAAAAGACAGAAAGAGCTTTCTCATGCAGAGCTATTTGCGACGTCTGTGGGTTATTTCCGGGTTGCCTTTCCTCATCATGGCTACAAATTCGTCATAGTTAATTCTTCCATCCTGCAAGAAATTTGAGAATTAATATAGCAAAGGATGATTAAAAAACACCTTACAACCAACAATGAAAACAAGGACTTGGCCTCATAAAATGATAAAGTTCACAAATCTTAAAGTCTCCGCCTTAGTAAATTTCATGAAAATATAAACATCAGTCAATTTATTTTTTAAACTTACAAAAAGGTTCAAAAATTTATAAAAATGTTATTTTAGTTCTTAAAATTATCAAATGTAAGCCGTTTTAGTCCTTTGCTCCCCTTTCCAGCAACCGAACCGTCGTCAATATGGAATTGTCTTCCAACAGTTCCCATACTGATCAAGAATATCAATAAGCCATTTTAGTCCTTATTATTGTAATTTTGGGAACCACAATGACTATCCTTTCGTAACTTCATGAACTAAAATAACCATTCTTTAATATTTAAGGACTAAAATGGCATTTTTATAATTTCAGAAACTAAATTAACACCATTTCATAATTTAAGGGACAAACATGATGTATTATTCGAAAAATAATCATATTCTGAACCCATCATATATATAGATGCATTACTCAATAGTATTTCCTTTTTCACTTTATGAAACAGGAAAGCAGCATTATCCAACAATATAATTACAGCATTTTCATGAATAACATAATTTTTACACGTGCTTGTGTTTAAAAAAATTTAACGACAGGTATGAAATGAAGGAAGCAAAAACAAGTAAGGTAAAAAGAAAGTAACATACATGATCAGTATCAACTTCAGCAATGATTTCCTTTATTGTTTTCTCGTCACCCATGTTATACTTCTTAAGGGCTATTTCCAACTCTTCCATTGTGATGTACCTACGAAAATAGAAGCAACAAGAAGAAAACCAACACAAAAATCAACATCTAAGGTGATAATGATGCTAACTTTAAATTATGAAGGAAAAATAAATGAGATTACCCGCTCTTGTCCTTGTCAAAATATTCAAAGGCTTTATAAAGGTGGTCCTCTCTTTCCATTCTATTCATGTGCATGGTAGCAGTTATAAATTCAATATAATCAATCGTTCCATTCCCATCTACGTCAGCCTAAAACAATTATGATCATATAGTTAATGAAAAGCCTTAATTAAAATCAAGGGAAATGGCAAACTAGTAATCCCAATATCATGTAGCTAAAAAGATATGATCTTGGCATCTCCTTTCTCAGCAATTGTGCACAAAGAACATTGATGCATGAAGCATCGATTTATTTGTCAGTGCAAGGCAAGGCCTGGATGCAAATGATTATCAACAAGACAGGATATGAGATTAGATTACAAAGAAAGAGCTAAATCGTACATACAGCATATACAAGGATTCAGAGAGATTTAGCTATGCGAAGCGAAGCTCCAGTAATTTAGCATCATATTCATCAGAAATGCCAAACCAGGTTTTGGATACAGATAATTATGAGCAGAACAGGAGATGAGATTGCACAGAATGAGTTTAACTGTATATGACACACAGCCTTAGCCATGAAAAGCCAAACTCCAATAGTTTAGCGATGAAAGTTAAATTTAACAAGACACTATAGAAGGACATGTAAAAAAAATACAATAAAGTTATGCGAAAACGTATTGTAACATATGACCAAATATAAATAATGGACCCAGAAATACAATTGTCTGAAACATCTAGCAGAGCACTAGTGGGTATATGCCAGATCATGTTCCAACAGTTTTGTTTACATTTGTCTACTCAAATAAACATACTGATCAGATAAGAATATCATACGACATTTTATCACCTCTGTGTGACCACATTCTATGCAGTGTGAAAACCTTAGTTAGTGTTTCAGGTCAAATTGTAGAAACGGGATGAAACATTATGTGAACTTCAAACGTTGTCACCAATTATCAAAAAATGGAGAGCAAATCTTCCAGAAGAACCACTAGGCAAAGGTACATTCAAGAAAGAAAAGAACAATAACCTTACCGCTTCCATCAATTGCCTTACTTCAGACTCAGAAAGTTTACTACCCAGTTTTGGGAGACCAGCTTTCAACTCTTCAAAAGTGATTGTTCCACTATTATCTGTATCCATGGATTTGAACATTTCCTTCAAGCCAATAATTTCTTCTTCAGAAAGGTTTTCAGCAATAACCTGTAATGAAATAAAATAATTTTCATGTCATTTGCTCTGGATAGTGGATAGAGGCTGTGTATGAAAACAGATTCTTTAAAGCAGACTAATCTTATTCAAAAACTAAATAGCCTACTACTTCCATTGCACTCGAATGATTAGTTTAGTAAATGAGGAAACATAACAGAAACAAAAGCATCTATCCATTGATCTAGTCAGCTATGAATGCCTTCCCCATGTTTATTCATTTAACTAACATAGCAGTGTTTGTAGTTGTAGATATTTTACAAAAAGCGTGATTATGATGTTCATGTGAGAACAATAACAAAAATAATGATAAAAGATAATTTACCTTTAGAGCTACTTTTTTCAGCTTGTTCATTGCTCGGAATTGTTTCATTCTGGTTAAAACAGCAATGTCGAGAGGCTTATCAGATGCATCTCCATCTACTCTCATCCAGGGATGATCTACAGAGCATATATAACATGTTTTTATGACTGGTTAATTTAAATAATTAAATTGCCAAGAAAGTTATAGTTTAAATGCTCTTATGATGTGCCGGTGCTAGAGATAGGTGCCGTCATTTTAAGAGCAAAATATTAATCAAAAGAGTAAACTCAAGCATACTACTCTTTACAGTGAAAACTTATTATATAATAAGGTTGTGATGAGAGGCAAAACAAGAGCACATTATACATGAGGCTATAAGAAACTCTATAGTTACGCAATTAATAGGAGGAATACTTGGGTTCCTAGCCTACCTTTATTTTCTCTTTTTCTTTTTCTTGAGAGCGAGTTGAAGTGTCTCCGATGTGAAAATATTTTTTCTTTCTCTTTATCTGTCTCACTGAATAGAGTCACACTACTTCAATAATCCCATGTCCTTGACAATATCACAAATCAATCTAATGACAACTATTTTGAATATTCATATCCTATTTCTCACCCATTATCTAAGCCTCACTGAATCATTGCGTTGTCCATTCTAGAAGGGTAAACAATGCCACCCTTTTTTCAGTGTCACAATGATTAACATAAAATATAAATCATTTTTTGGCATAAAAAAATACATGGTCATGAGTAGAATTTAACTTACTAAGTACTTCAAGTGCTGAAAGCCGTTCTTTGGGGTCAGCTCGTAGCATCTTCTTGACCAGATCTTTGGCACTGCTTGATATGGAAGGCCAAGGATCCGATACGAAATCAATATGTCCACGAAGAATAGCATCAAAGATACCCTGTTCATTTTCTTCACATAAAAAATTAAAAAACAGTGAAAAACATTGGAAAGGTTTGAAAGCACGTAAATCAAAGTAACAATCCTACTGACATTCAAAATAACAGTTTTGTTAAATAAGACAACCTTTAAAAATTAAAGATATGCGTATATTAATATAAATTTTTAAACACAAATTGTAAATGATAACATAACATAAATAGAATTAAATATTTGTAGCTTGCTATGAAAACACTTATAATAAAAGAAATTAATAAACTTACATCTCACAAGTAAGGATGAATAAGTTGGATTAAGTAGGGAAACAAAAATGAAAATTTTGACAAAAGGAATAGGAAAATCATTAATCTTAACTACAAAAATATCATTTTTTGGGGGAAAATGGTTTAACTAGTATATAAGGTGAAATTAGTCATGTAACATCTCTCTTTCTTCTTTAATTTGTGAATGCTTGCGTGACAGAAATCAAATACTCGTTAACATTTTTTTTACTACAAAAAATTTAGATAAGTTGGGTCCTAGAGGTTCAGCAGGATAAGGCATATCTCAAGGCTCAAAAAATGCTTAACAAAGTACTTAGAGATCACCCACTAATGAGGTCCTCACATCGAAAGTGGGATTTAAACCCACGTATTTGTGAGATATGAATTTAATCTTTATCAACTAGACCAACCTTTGTTGACAAATATTGACTAACATTTTATTCTTATCACTATTACTCTTAATAATAATTTTGTTGCTATCATTTCAGTTATTAATTATTTTATGTTACTTCTAATTAAATTTATCTAATTAACCTGAACTAATACTTTTATTTTGATTATCCATTTAAAAAGAGTTACTCGTAATGTATTTCTCAAAGTTGTACAAAGGTGTGTGTTTCAATAATTAGTGTTCATTCTAAATTATTAAAGAATCAGTGACACGAATTTAGCTACTAAGTAAATTCATGAAATTTTATTCTTAACGTTTTAACTAATACTGAGAACCACATTAAGATAAAAGTTTAATTGGAAAAATATTATTTTGAGAACATTCATTTTAATAATTATTACTTATTAAAATGAAAGGTATAGCATGTCAACCAAGTTGCCACCATCAAAACTGTTGTACTCAATCCCTGGTGAGGAAGAGGACAGATGAAGGGAAAATGAACAACATGGCAGAGAAACAGAAGGTTAGTGATGCTGCGAAACCCAAACAAATAGGGGAAACTTGGCATGTGGTGCTAAGTAAGAAGAGATGCATCTTTCAAAAAGGGAATGGAAGCCAAGCCCAAAAAAGTAAAGTGGATTTCGATACTGGAGAAGAAAATAAAATGTTCAAATTAATGGGCCAAACTCAACTAAGAACATTGAGTAGCAAGGAAAAAGTTGCAATATTACTACACACGTGCAGCAATGCAGTTCGGAGGGGAGGCTAGGGGATCTCATTACAACTATAGCAGTAATGATGCCCTATTTCATGGCAAAATATACTGCAAAAAACAAAGCACTAAAAAAGGGGAGTGTCTATTACTATTCCTTTGTGTCTATTGTCACCTTTTTTAACAATTTTTTATCTAAAATATCCTAACTAGTAACATTGTTATAAGAGGAAAAAAGGATATGTTAAAAAAAAATCACTTAAATAGGAGTGTGTTTACGGTGAAAAATGACCGTATGTAAACAAATAATCCAAGAGGGAGACTGGATTTGGGTTCTTTTTGAGTTCTTTTAAGTGTGTTGTTTAACGTAATGCCCAAATTGACATTATAAAATAGAGTATTAAACAGGAATAATGGACAATAAATACATGAAAATGATTGAAGGTAAAGGTTTTACATAAATCGTGCAAAACACGCACTAAATAGCAGAAATAATTACGTGAACATGATTAAATGTAAAGGTTTTACATAAAGCGTGCAAAACAAGTACTGAATTGCAGAAACAGACACAAAAGATAACAAACAAGCAAAGTGAGCTGAAATTAAAGTACAAAAACATAAATATGCAGAAATGTAACATACGACTCCTCACAACAGAGAATAACGGCCACTGTGAGTCTCCTTGTAGCTGGTGTCTAACACGATACAGGGTTTCAGCATACAGAGATTTTTAGGTGCGGTATCTGGGTGTAAAAAGTCATCCTCTAGAAAGTGAAGCTTTGACATATTTATAGGCAAGAAAAATCACCATCATTCTCCTTTTTTTTAGGACAATTCTCGGTAACTGCCTTCAACTATTGTCCATTATCCACGATTGGCTCTGATCATACTGTTGGTTGTGATTTCTTTCATAGCTGCTATTGTCCATGATCCTTTTTCGTATTGTTATACCTTCGTCTGGCGATAACTGCTGGTAACCACTTCTAAGCCTTATAATAACTTTTGAGTCCTATCATGACTCTTATAAACTTAGAATCTTTTCTTTTTTGTTTTCTATTTTTCGAGCAGTTATGAGAGAAATCTAAGAGACTCATTTAACATTATAGACTTAAATTAATTTTCCTCTTGATTTCTATTTTTCAACTAATTTCCATTTTTTTTTGCTCTCGTGGACTTAGAATATTTTATCTAACCATTTCCTATTTTTTGAGTAATTATAGAGGAAATCTGGAGCTCAACCAAGTCTGTGAATTTAAAATATTTTCTGACCACTTATTATTTTTTGAGCAATTTTGTGTTGCTAGGGACTTAGGAGCCCTCAAAAACTCCTTGAAAAGGCTTTCAATCTGGTAGATTTAGAATATTTTCCTGTTATTTATGTTTTTCGAGCAATTTTTGGTGTAAAGAACCTAAGGGCTACTCAAAAACTTCTCGAAAAATCCTCTTGTCTTGTGGACTTGGAATAATTTCTGATTGTTTTTATTTTTCGAGCAATTTTAGCTATTCTCAATCCAGGAGCCAAGGTATCCTCGAAAACACCTCGAAAAAGCATCTAGTTTTATGGACTTGGCGTAATTTCTTACCAGTCATTGAGCAATTTTGGGTGTAAAGGGCTTGAAACTGCTCAAAACACCTCGAAAAAAGCTTCCGTTTTGTGGACTTGATAACTATTCAAAATACCTCGAAAAGCTTCCTCCAATAAGGTTTTATAACTTGGAAAAAATTTTCCTTACCTCAATCAGAGTGACAATAGACACACCTCTAAAGATAAATGAGAGCACTCACATGTGTTTGACCTAGGAGGAGTGAGAGCTGGATTTAGGCTGCAACGGTGGGACTTTATTTTAGCAGCCTCAACCCATTCACCTTGCCCACAAAGTGAAATTTTAAGGAGAAGTATTGATAGGTACTCATTAGCTAGTAAGCTTAGTTGGTCAAAGAAACAAGGCATGTCTCAAAGATACCGGGTTCCTGAGAATCTATTTCATATCCAATAAGGGTGCACCTCACAGAATGAAGTACCCATGCTTTAGATCTCGTCAATATACAACAGTAAATATGACCATCTAAATAGTAAATAATGGTTACAAAGGAAGAAATTTTACCTGCCCAGAAGGGTGGAACACCAGAAAGCAGAATGTACAATATAACCCCGGCACTCCAAATATCAGCTTCAGGCCCATAACTCCTTCGCAGCACCTCAGGAGCAACATAGTAAGCACTCCCAACGAGATCTTTAAACACGTCACCTGCTCTCAAAAGTCAAAATAAAAGGACCCAAGTCAACGAATGCAAGAACCACCACAGTAATAACACCATGTTTGGTTCAGATCAATTAATTCTCCCAAATAAATTGAACAAATTAAGCACACCCTAACAATTGATTAACTAATTAACCTGGTTTGAAAAACACAGAGAGACCAAAATCCGTAGCCTTGAGGGGGGAATCATCGTCCTTGCTGAGCAACAAGAAGTTCTCAGGCTTCAAGTCCCTATGCATCACTCCCATGGAGTGACAGTTATGCACAACGGTCACAATCTGGCGGCACGAGTTGGCGGCGGCACGCTCGGAGTAGTGGCCTTTGGCGATGATCCGGTCGAAGAGTTCCCCTCCGGCGCAGAGTTCCATGATGAGGTTGACGGAGTGGCGGTCCTCGTAAGCACCCTTGAGCTCGACAATATTGCGGTGGCCGGTGAGGTGGTGCATGATCTGAACCTCACGGCGAATGTCGTCGATGTCATCTTTGTTAATGAGCTTGCGTGTGGCGATTGATTTGCAAGCGAACTGCTCCTTCGTCACTTTGTGGGTCACTAAGTAAGTCACACCGAATTGGCCGCGGCCCAGTTCGCGCCCGAAGATGTAAATGGACCGGACGTCCTCCATGGGTCGGCCAAGCACGCGGCCCAAAGAGGAGGGTGGTGGGGGTGAAGGGTTGGAGTCTGGGGGGAGAACTGTGAGGCCGTTGTGGGGGGCAGGGTTTTCGGAGTAAGTGGTTGCGGCGGCACCGCCGCTGCTGCAGTTGCCCATGGACTATTGAGTCAATGAGGGTAACCGACGTGGTGGTCGGAAGAAGAGGTTGTTTGTGGATAACAAAGGCAAGTGTTGTGTGTCTTTAAACAAAGTGGCCGGCTTGCTGCCATAATTAGTATTAATTATTCATTAAGGGGCAGTGTCTAAAAAGAACCAAAATATTACCTTCCTCGAATTTTTTATTTTTTTTTTAAGTTTTAATAATTATAATTTTATTTTATCTTACAGTTTTACAATGTCAATATCTAATTAATTAATACGTTTTTAAAAAAATTTAAAGTATATAAATTAACTACAAATTATATAAAAAATATAACATTAATTTTACATTTTTTATTTTTATATCACAACTTTAAATGATAAATAAAAGAGAACGAGATAAGTAATTAGACTCAGTATTGTATTAAGTATATATAATTAAATAACTAAGATAACTATTTTAATTAGTTCCAATTTTAAAATGAATAGGTAAAATAAATAAGTATTAATTTTAATTTTAATGATTTGACTTTGTAATATATTTTAAAGTTAAATTGAAATATTGAGTTTCAACTCTGGCAAAAGTTAAATTAAAATAAATGTATGATTTATTTACTAATATTTAATATAAATTTTAATAAAATACTACATAAAGTTATTTTGTTTAGAGAAGATAAATTTATTTATAGAAGTAACTTTATTTATAGAAGTAACGCATCTTTTAAATGTTATCGTTCTTGAAAGTTATGTATTTAATATTTTATTAATAATAAAAGATACGTGGAATTTTAATTTTAAAAATAGAAATACTAAATATATGCACCATTTAAGTAAAATTTAGATTTTGAAATTGAATTTTTTGAATAAAAATGTCTGTCCTTAGAAGAAATCGGAAAGAAGGTGAAAAGAAAATTACTTTTGGTTGAGGACCTCGTTGGCATGCAATGTATTTTCTTCTTCTTTTTTTTATATCTGTTATGCTCGGTTGCTTTGTCAAAGTTAGACTTATTTTTAAACATATATTTAATTAAAAGTGAAAATATACTATCTTATATTAGAGTGAAAATTTATATTATTTATTTATTTTTAAGATAACACTTTTTAAAAAAGATAACACTTTTTAAATAAGAATCACTCTAAACAACCTCTCCTGTCACAGTCTAAACAACCTCGAAAAGGGAATTAAGTCAATTTTGACATATTTATTATTTTAACAATTAAAAAATTATTTAAATAATATATATAATAAAATTTAACATTAAATATCAGTATACTACTGATATTAAAATTTAATATTATTATAATAAAATTTATAATTTAATAAAATATATTAAGTTGGTCTATTTAAAATAAAAATATAAATTTATTTAAAAGTGAATAAAATTTATAAAAAATTATAAAATTGTTAGAATAATATTAAAATAATACTTCTTATTTATAATTATATAAAAAAGTACTAATAAATATTATTTTTTTAATTTTAAAAAAATCTGATGGGCCAGTTCAGATTTTGATGAACTAAAATAAAGTAAGTTTGGCAGGCCAAACAGCTTAAATAGGTCACTCCGAAGAGCTAGATCCATTTTCACACAGTAACCAGCATCCAGTCTTGAGAAAATCTTGTAATAATTATTTTAAAAACCTTACTCATCATTTATCAACTTTTAGAAAATTAAAAGAAAAAATACTATCATGAGATCCTGTCAAATGGTTGTCAAACTCGGAAGATAACCCATGTATTGAGTGACCATTTGTTTTAAAATTTAATGAAATTAATTTGATAATTTCAATCTTGAACAGTAAATATTATGAAATCGTAAGTTCAGATTAATTTTAATTGCAAATTGTAAAAGTGTGACGTTGTAGCAAATAACACTAAAGCATAAGCACTCATAAAAATACGATGTCAGCGAAGTTTTATTATTAAATAGAATACATAGCACACTGACAGACCTTACGGGTAGCAAACTGTATTCACAACCTGCTAATCGTTTCATCAGATGTAATATTTACAAGGGGAGGGGAGGAATGGAAAAAAGAACATGACCAACCACCTAATCAAAGTACAATATCCTACATTGATATATATGTCCCATCCATGAGATTACCAATCGATTGGTTATTCTCTCAATTTGTACGGATGACACTAACTAATCGTCAATAATCTTACATGGAAGGGAGTAACAATGTGACATGCTGATAAAATTTGTTAACTACGGAGATCATGACAACAAAAAAGAGATAACTAGCATTAAATCCAATTCTGGGGCATAGTGTAACCTTCAATTGGTTTAGATGGATCACTAACTAGACCTCTCCCATTGCTTGAGCCCCGGCCAGAACCACCCGTCAGCATGGCCATCAGACTTCCACCATGCACCCTGCCTTCAGGAACAGCAACTGACATTGGCAAGTGGCCACCTTCCTTAGCTGAAACATGAGCACTTGCAACTTCATATAGTTTAAAGTCAGAACAGGTTCTAAGAGCAGCACTACCTATTTTCATTATATCCACATCCATGTTTTTGCTTTCAAGTACTAGCTTAAGTTCATCTGTTTTACTAGAATGTGGATCCTGAATAACAGATCCCAATGAAACACCTCCATGAACCCTCTTATCATGCACTAGTCCACTATGAAGTGAACACAGCCCTGTTTTCCCCTTTGCAAATGAATTGCAAGGACCATCCTGTTGGGTGCTATATTCTGACCCAGGGTGGCCCCAAGAGCATCTTTTGCCTCCCCCATGTGCCTTGCAAAAATCAGTGCTGCCTTGTGCACTCTTTCCACACCCTTCAAACTTGCATCTCTTGCCTCCACCATGGCGAACACAATGATCAGTCCTTCCTCTAGCACTTTTAGTGCAGCCTGGTACAGCACACCTCTTTCCACCCCCATGTGCCACACAGAAGTTGGTACCTCCATGCACACTTTTAGTGCAAACTCCACCACCTTGGTAGGTACAGCGTTTTCCTCCACCATGGCCTTTGCAAAAGGGGGTGCTACCCTCAGCACCTTTTGTGCAACCTGATGCAGTACATCTTTTTCCGCCACCATGTGCTTTGCAAAACATTGTGCTCCCCTGTGCACCCTTGGTACAGCCAGGAGCTTGGCATCGACGCCCTCCACCATGTGAGATGCAAAGACCTGACAGACCTTCAGCACTCTTAGTGCAATTTTCTCTCTGGCACCTCTTGCCACCACCGTGCCGTATACACAATCCAGATTTCCCTCTGGCAGCCCGGGTACAACCTTCATGACAACATCTCCGGCCACCACCATGGGCAATGCAGAAATCTGTACGTCCTTCTGCACTCTTTGTACAGCCAAGGAATTCACATCGTCTACCACCTCCATGGGCCTTGCAGTACACAGTACGACCCTCGGCTCCTTTGTGGCACCCTGGTTTCTGACACCTCCTACCCCCACCATGAGATATACATCGTCCAGAAGCACCTCTGGCACCCTTTCCACATCCCTCAACTTGACATGTCTTAGAATTGATGTGACGATGAGGTGGCTGCTGCTGTGTTAACCCGGAAGTACAAGTAACTGAACTTTTTGGTCTGGTTGACTCAAGATCCAAAACAATGGGACCATGATCAAACTGCTTTGAAGCCTGATTTAAAAGAAAACTAGCGTCTGTTGTTGATGATGTCTTTGAAGATGGCAACACAACCCCTGGCTTCCAACTACAAGATGTTGATCCCTCATCTGTATTTTGTGTCCCACTGAATGCCAGTGGCATCTCCATATTCAATTGAAGAGGTGATGGATTTAGATGAACACTAGTGATATCTGACTCACAGGGCCCAGTGGAAAGGCTCAACTCCAAATCACAGTTTGGCTGCGACTCCAATGTCTTCAAATTTGAACTAACAAGTTTCTTCAGGCTCTGTACCTTCTCACAGCCAAGATGGAGAGCAAAATCCAGCTCAATATCCATAGATGATTCCTCATCAATATCTTTGGCAGAAGACATAGCAGTACAACCAGCAGCTGAACTACCCTTGCTGTCAGAGGAACTAGTTGAACGCCCCAGCCCAAGTGACAAAGAAGAGTCAATTCTCTGACCCATACATCCATCAATTAAATCCCACTTCCTTTTTGTTCCATTAGAAGAGGGCACACAGGAAAAAATTGAACCACCAGGGGAATCAAGTCGTAAGATGGTATCTGTATCATAATAATCAACTCCACTTCGTTCAACTTGCATAGAAGAATTGCCCAAAATCTTGAAGGCATTTGCAGAATGATTTGTGGCAAATCCCAAGTGCTGGAACTTTGCGTCCATGAAACCACAGCAGAAACAAAATCTAATCCTATTTACGAATTTCAACAAAACAGACTGCTTGACTCCCGGTAAAATGGAGACGTATATCTACACAGTCAGGGCTAGATGTGTTGACAGGAGTATAATGCACCCCCGCTGACAAATCCTGAAGTATCACGTCGATCCATCTAAAGATATAGAAAGATTAAACTGATGGTTGAGTTTGTAAGTGAAAATTAACACAAGATCCGACTCCTTCCAAGATGCACTGTGGAAGCAATCATCCTGTTCACAACAAAACAAATGGTCACAACTGAAATTTCTGTCAGAATAAACATGGTTGCAGTCAACATTGATATGCATATTTAAATAAAATGGGTAATTGAAGGTATAGGAGAAAATTAAAGTCTATAAACTAGTGTAAATTGGCAAACATCTTCAATTCAATAGATGCCTAAAATAAGAAAAGACTGTAAATTGGCAAAACCTTTTAGTATTACTCTGCACAGGTTGAAAACTAGGATAAAACATAAAGAACACAGATTAATATATTCATACAAGAATAGCAAGTTGATAAATGATCAGCGTACATAGTTCTACATTGTGTAAGGTATCATAAGCCAGTAAAAGAACTGTAGTTATATAATCAAAAGGAAAAGAAATAAAATTACACACCAGCACTTCCAAAGTCTATTTTATATTTACTGGATTGTCAAAAAACCATAATTAACACATGAATAGTTGCAAAAGCATGCCACAGAACAACCCAAAAAACAAAGGATGGAATTTTTAGTTAAAAAACTGGACTGAGTAGCAAACCAGAGACATAGCTGAGTCACTGTACAGGCAACTCCAAGTGATGGAGCAACTGAACCAGTCAATAATTTATGTATAAAAAAATTAATAGCGGGCACAATGGAGCACACAATCAAAACAGAACATAGTTTTCTCAGTTAGTGTTTTGGTCACAAGAGCACCAGGTGCACAGCTCAGACCCTGTTGACCACCACTTTAAATTTAGGGTTTGTTTGGGTAAACAGGTAAATTAAACACTTATTCAATAAGTTCTTATCAAATGAGAGCTTATTCATAACCTTAACTGTAAAACACTGAAATAAGATGATAACACATAATTAAATAAACAATGAAGACAAAAAAAGGTAAGCGAGAGAGTCTGGTCAACGAATAAGACTAGCACTCAGTTGCACAAGACTAGCACTCAGTTGCACACTAACATACATAACTAAGAGCATTCACAAAAAACAGAGTAGTGCAACCCTTGTTCCTTCATTCTTTCTCTACTTCTGCTCCCAAGTGGATCTATTGCCACTCCCAAATATCTATTGTAGCTCCTCTTTAGATAAATTCTATGTAAAATACCCCTTTTTTTCGCTTGGTTAATTAAATTAATAATAATAGTTAAACAAAAAAAATCCTAAATCAGGCATGAGTGACAATAGAAACTCCCCTGTTCTCAGCCACCAAAATGTTTCAACAGTTAAAATTATTTATAACAGACTAAAAGGAGACGAGGAACAGGAGATTATTTAAAACTATAAACCTTCTTTAGATATAGAAAGAAACAAAATAAATCATTTAAAACAAAGCATAGAAAAAATCAAACAAAACATGCTTAAAAAAGAAAGATAGACAAGAATTACAAGATTTTGTTCAAGGTGCCTAGAGTCTAAAACTCCAATTAGAAAACAAAAAAAAAACACAAAGAAAGAGAGAAACATAGAAGCTGAATTAGCAAATACAAATATTATGATGGACCCAAATATGGTGAAATTGATTCGTGTTGAAAAATTGAAGTTAATTAAGGAAGAAACAGTTTGAGGTAGATAAAAAATAATTTGAGATGGTTCAAAGTTTGTTTATTTATTTGTCTTCCAGAGAGTTGCAGTGGAAAGGAGGAGAGAAACAATTATCCCAATTCAATTTTCATCGTTCTAAATTAGCCAAACTGTGGAAAACTGAGAATCTTCGAACAAAACAAAAATTCTGTTTTTACAGAATTGATAAGAAAGATTAGAAACATCCATTTGTTAGCTCCAAAGTTCATACACCTGTCCTTAGAACAAAATTTCAGATTCCAAAAAAGATAAATTGAAATGAAAAATGAAAGGGTACGCAAATGATGATTCAGTAGCTTGCAAGTGAAAAGGTTTAAAGAAAATTAAATTGAAGCAAAAATGAACATGTTGAGATTGAATATCGAGATCTATGGAGGAGTTACCTAGTCTCTTGATTCGATTCGATTAGAAGTTAGAGAAGGGGGTCTAGGGTTTTGAAATCCAGGAAGCGAGAGAGAACAGAGGAGGCCGACACAAAACGGTGAAGAAAGAGTGAGAGAGTAATAAGGATGAAGAGGCGCGTGCTCAAAGTGAGAGTAAGCTATAACCAATTTTAATACTGGATGGGTTCTAGGGTTACGTTTCTTTTCTTTCTTCTTCTTCCTTTTTTTATTATTTTATATTTCTTTTATTATAATTATTTTGTTTCTTGGACAACTTGTAAACAGTTTTACAACCTTCCGTGTAAATTTTTTTAGTAATTTTATTATTTTTATTATTTTTTAAAATTTATTATAACATTGAATATTATTTTTTCTATTAAAACGATGTTTTCTTTTTTCATTATTGAGAGTTGACACACAAAATCGGCTTTCTTCTTAAAGAAATTATTTATCGTCAAAATGACATTCAACTTATGTTTTGTTTGTTCACTTCCGCTTAAATAAAATAATGTAAATTTAAAAACAAATATTTAAATATTTATAGAAAATATTCTCAGATATATGTTAAAGACAGTAAAGTATACTCTACCGATAAAAATTTTTACACTGTAAAACAAAATGTTCACCTCTTAATATATGTTTGGATTTTAAAAAGATTACTTGTTTTTTCGATATTTTTTTCAGAAGATTATCAAAACAAATATATTTTTTAAATATGAAAAAATAAATATACACTTATTTACTTAAAAAAAAAACGTGTAGTGTATGTGGTAAATTTTTATTGTCTTAAAAGTATTTCCTATTTTCCATAATTTAGCATTATTTTAAATTTAATAATGTTTTCTTCTATTTGTCCTTGATATAATAATTATATTTTAATATAAATTTCTTTTTTTACTAAAAAATACTTTAATTTGATAATATGTATGTAATGTTTAATAAGCTTAATAATTCATATTATACTCTTTAATTTATCTTGCTCTCAATTTTCACTGTGTTTTTCCTTTTTTTTCTTTCTTTGGTTATGTTTTTTTAATAAGATTATTCACCTTCCTTCTCTTAACTCTTTTTTTTTCTCTCTTGAATATTTCATTCTCCCTTTACTTCATATTTCCTAAACCTAAAAGCACTCTTCAATAAACATTAGAATATACAGAAAAATAAATAAAAATAAATAAGAATAGGATCATTTAATAAAACGTTGAAGATATAAAAAAAATATTGAGTCGTGTAAAATATAAAATGCTCTAAGTTTATTTTTTTAAAAGTATTCAATCTTTTTAGTTTATTATGTTATGCAATGATCTTTATCTTTATCTTTTTATACATGTAGAAGTAGTTGAGCTTTAAGTTAATTGTCCTAGTTGATAGTATTTTGTTTTAAAATTTCTTTTTATTACTTGTTTGTCTTACAATTTGTGCTTCATTAATAGTTTATTATTTTTCAATTTTATATTGTTTTATTGTATTCTTTAATTTTCAAATAACTCATTGACAATCTTAACCTGTCAAATATCCATGTTGTATTAAATTAAATTTATTTATAAAAACAACTAAAATATTTTAATGATAATAAGTGTATTTAGTAAGGTAGATTTGTAACTTCTTTAAACAATCATAACTCATTGTCTTCGTAATCTAGTTATCAACCTGGTGAAATTGTTCAACAATAAAAAATAAAGCATAACTCATAAAAGCTATTTTTTTAAAAAATATCTAAAGTAGCATTTAAAATTTTAAAAATAATTATAAATATTTTTAAATTATAATTTTGTAAATAATTTATATTCACACAATAATCAATTATCAATTAATTTATCGATGATAAGACTTACTTAATTGTTGAATTGAATAATTGGTAATAAATAAATAATAGAGTAATGGTTAAGTATAATGTCATATATTGATATAATATTGTATATTATTTTTATTTATTTAATATATTTAACTAATTCAATAAATAATTTTATTAAATAACTCAAATTCAATCAACTAGTTATATAACAATAAGTTTGTTAATTAAATATTTAATACATTCAAATTAAATTATTCATAAATAGTTTAAATTATATATATTTGTTGTTGTACCTGTTCATACATCAAAGTTATAAAAAAATATACTTGATAGGAGATTTAACGTGTATCTACTTTGTTAATTTTTTATCTTTCCAACCTTTTTTTTATTTTAAGTATAAAATAATAACAATTAAAAACACATTAAATTGTGATAAATTAAAATAAATCACTATTTCTTTCGGAATAAATAATATATATGAATTGTTATCTTCACTTGTTGATAAATTCTGTTATATTTTTTAATATTTCACATTGAATTCCTCTTCTAAGATTTCCATGTTTTAAAATTATTTTAAGGTAGAAAATAAAATAAAAAATTTGAAAGGTTCAAAATATGGAAACTAAAGCAACATATACACAAGTAATGGATTGAAATCATTTTAAAAAAATCTGACCAACTTTGATTAGAGTTTTATTTTTATTAAATATAAATAGACAAGTGAGCATAACTAGATAATAAATTGAGATACTAAGTACAAAACACTATTTAAATTGTGCATCAAATGCAAGTAAATACTAGAGCTTTATTCAATACATGTAAAAAAATTAAAACTGAAATAAAAAGTTATAGCTGTATATCAACGTTATTTTTAAGTTAAAAGAAAATATGAATATTGTAATATCATGTATAAATCAATGATAAAAAATGTATTTTCAACTTGAAAGGAACAAATTTTAATGTAAATATCTAACTGAAACATGTTTATAGAATTTTGTTGAAGAAAAAGATAAGAGTTTAATTTTTAAAAATATTTTTTACTCTTTAAAATTTTTTAAAAATATATATTTATTAATATAAAATTTATATACGTTGATAAATGATTTTTTTTCACTTATTTATTATTTTTAAGGAGTTGATACAATAATTAAAAATATATTTAGTGTTTACTTTTTTAAATATTTTTTTTTAAATTAGACAATCTTATAAATATGAAAAATAAAAAAAAGGAAAAACTATTACTAACATGGTAAGTATCCTTAATTGATATTTGGATAATGGATAATTTACTATCGCAATGAGAAGGTAGGATGCGCATGAATTAGAGATTGTGGGCAAATCTTCCAACTTGAGTGTATACAAACGTGACACGTGTCAATAAAATTAAATGGAAAACAGAACACATCTTCATATTGAAACCTTATATTTAAGTTCCATGGTGCTTTGACATGCCCACATACATACATACATTGCTCTGAACTTGCTAAACGCTGAAGAGACTCTGCTTTTGCAGTGGTGGATAAGAAACTTTACTCTGCCGATGAGAAAACAGTGGTGGATCTTATATAAGTTTTTTTAGGTAGTTTTTTTAAATGTGCATTTTGTATTGATTTTATTTAATTGTTATATTATTTAATTACTGAATCTGTTGAGTTTCGGAATAAATTAAACCTTATAACATTGAATTAATCAACATTAGAGGGTATTAATCACAAAGTTTGAAAAGCTCAATAACTACATTTTATTAAAATTTCATGATAAGCTACTATTGCGTGTGAAACATATATTTATACTCTGATAATGTCATAATTTAAAATAGAAAAACATAATATATATCTTATTGAATTCTCTTATGGAGTTTTACAATTTATTTTTTGTTTACTTTTTAATATTTCTCTAAGATCCTGGAAATGGTTATCACTTGTTAGTAAGGGAGAAACTATTATGTTAGCTGATTGGTATTTGAACCTACGAAATTGCATCTGTCTTAATTTTGCATAAGTATATTTTTATTTTTTATTTCTCTGAGTTAGTAATTTTTTGTGTATATGTGTTTTGAGTTCCCCTTGAACTCTTTTTAATAAGATTTGTTTTGCCTATAAAAAATATATATATATATATATTTCTCATTGGAAGTGTCTTGTAGTAATTTCTTTTAAAAAAATTAATATACTATTTCATTTATTATTTATTTCATATTTTCATATGTATATTTCTTAATCTGCTGTATTTTTTATCTTTTATTTTTTTCTTATTATTCAATGTTTATAATTTTTTAATAATTAAAATGATATCAATTAAAATTTTAAAATTAAATAAATAATTTAACATTTATTTGTTTAAGTAAGGTTTTATTAAATGCATACTTAATATAAAATGTATTTAATACTGTGAATAGTACAACATAAATTATTAATATTGTAAATGATTGATATATTAGTAATTTTCTATTTAATTAATTTTTTATATATTTTTAAATCATTTTATTTAAACTATTAATTTATATTTCTTTTAATAATTAGATTAATATGAACCAAATTTTCAAATGCTAAAAAAGTAATGAAATATTTATTTCTTAATATAGATTTACATTTCTTTAAAATAATTCGGATAAAAAAAGTTTATGTTAAAAATATGAATTAACTACAAAAAGAGTGACGGGGTAAATTGTAATAAAGAAAAGGAGTTGATGTTTGGGTGAGATGAGGAATAATTGTAATAAAGTAATAATGATGTAAAAGAGTGTGTGAAAGGACAACCCAAGAGTGGCGCGGCGTGGCGATACGAGATCGTCGACAAAGCAAACATTAGCCGATGCGTTCCTTTAAGTCAACTTCATGTTAAAGTTTTTTAGGTTTTTCTAGGTATAGACGGTAGCGGTTCGTCTCGTCACCGCTCTCTACTGGACCCCATGCTAATTTTATATTAATCTATATATTTTTTTAATTGCTCAGTTTTGCTTATATCATATGAATATTATTGAATTAGCTTTTTTTTTTTTTTTTAATTTACTGAGAAACTTTCCAATATATATTTTTTGTTTAAATTTTAAAATTCCTTTTAGGAATAAAGTTCCAATGTAGACGATCTTTACTGATAATTTTTTAACAAAAATAATTTTATAATATAAATTATATTTAAAAATGATTTTTTCAACGGTAATAGATTATATCAATGGCTTTTTTTTAATGTATTAAACATTTATTGAAAAAAGTCTTTACTTAAAAATGAATAAATAAATATAATTACATTATTATATTTGGATTAGGATAAGGATCGGAAGCGTCTCTCAATGATATTAAATCAATGATCTCGTCCATCAGTCTAAAATAGTGATATTAAATATAAAAAAGTAAAAATTTAATTAAGATATAGTAAGGATTTTTATAATATTATTTAA